GTGGTGTCTGGGGGGGTCGCATGGGAAAGAGTTTTGCTACAGCAGCTGCAGGGGAGGGCAGGCACGGAGCTGCTAGGTTTGCAGTGCTAGTAGGGCCTGGAGCATGTCTGCTTGGCACTCCATAACATTTAAGGGCCGCTCCATAGCTTTGTTCTGGCATGTCCCATTCTCCTTTTGGTCCCTCTTCTCGCTGTCCCGCCACGCCTTCAGTTCCTGTTTTTTGGCCATGGAGTGCATCATAACATCACGCAGAAAGTCCTCTTTAGTTCTTTATGGCTGCTTTCTAATTCTGCGCAGCTGTTCAGCCGCCGATAAAGAGGGAGGCTGGGCTCCCAAGGTCATCTCTGTGAAGCCAAAATGCAACATTTTACAGAAGCAGTATTGTTTGCAACACAGACCACTGATTCAGTGATTTAAAACACAGCCACTATTCACATACCTGTCACTAACTGGCTGACCCCAAGCAAGCACACGAGCCACAAGACCCCAAAATGGTGAGTAACTGCAGGGGAAAAATCAGTGTTCCAAGACGGTACTGTACACTGGGCACGTGGGTCTTGGGGAGAGCCGGCACTATAGTCATTATCATCATTACTGTCCCCACTTTTTCCACAGGCTGTGTTCATTATGGAAGATATCTCACTGCTGAGGGTGAGCAGGGAATCAAGGGAGGGTCTTCCCCAAGACTGCGGCTCCCGCCCTGACCCTTATGCGGCTCACCTGTGTGCCGCAACAGTCGTCTCTCCCGCCAGCAGAGTGGCGGGGGAAAGTCACCCTTAATAGGGCAAGAAACAAAGCAGCTCTGCCAAAGAACCTGAGGCAGCGGATTGCCCAGTATCTCCATGAGAGTTTCCTGGAGATCTCTGAGGGAGATTCCCGTGAAGTGAGGGAGTCAAGACCCTGTTCCGCTGCTCAGACTAGGCATATGGTGGTAAGTGCGTCATACAGACACAAACCTGCTTTCTGCAATCCTCCTGACTCCAACAACTCGCTTCAGCGATTCCCAAAATCAAAGCCACTTACCAGGGGTCTCCTTGCCTGTTTGCGCTTCACCAAGCTCCAATAGCTGTGACTGGCTAGCCTCCTCTGGGGTAGAAAAGAGCTCCTGGCTATATGCAGCTCTGACCTCCGAGTCATCCTCTGCCTCTGGGTCCCCCTCCGCCTCCACATCCTCATCCAAGATTTCCTCCTCCTGGCTCGGTCCACTCTCGACTGGCACGCGAGCCAGCGAAGTATCCACAGGGGCCTTCGCAGTGGAGGTGGGGTAGCCACAGCTCTCTGCAGAACCGGCAGCTCGTGGGGGCAGCACTGGAGCAGTGGTTTGCCTCCTGCGCCTTGTGGTAGGCATTCCGCAGCTCCTTCACTTTGACCCTGCACTGCAGAGTGTCCAGGTCACAGCCCCTGTCGTGCATTCTGAAATCTGCCCATAGGTATCATAATTCTTGCCGCTGGAGCACAGCTGGGACTGGACCACCTCCTCTCCCCAAATGCTGATGAGGTCCAGAAGCTTGGCATTGCTCCAAGAGGGAGATCGCCTGGTGCGTGGAGCAGGCAAGGTCACCTGGAAAGATGCGCCGAGACCACTGCATGCGTCTCCGAGCAAACAGGAAAGGGACTTTCAAAATTCCAAGGAATTTAAGGGGTGGGGCTCACATTTGGTCACCTGAGGGCAGGGCAGTAGAGTTCAAACCCACGACCAAAGAGGCAAGAACAGGCATTGAGAGACACCTCCTGGAGGCCAACTGCAGCACTGTAATCAACCAGGGTGTCTACATTGGCACCGCAGCATTGGAGCCCCCGGCACAGAAAGTTGTACGCCTTTTGTCGGGGTAGTTTTTTTTTTTTTTTTTTTACAGCACTGCAACTGTGCAGTTTTTGTGCACTAAATGGCTTGGTAGTGTGTACATCTCGGGAATCACACCGCAGAAAGCTGCTTTACTGTGCAGAAACTTGCCAGTGTAGAGAGAAGGCCTAAGATACAGGAGTCACTACGCTCCATGAATTGGATTATTCAGGAGGTCAGACTAGATCATGAATCACTTCTGGTATTAAAAATCTATTAAAAGCTTAATATATTCCCTGGAGTATATTTAAGTGAGCAAGGTGGCAGAACAAACGTGTTCTTGAGTTTCAGTGGCGTAAACAGCTGCAAAAAAATAAGGACACAAAAGTGGCTTCCCATTTGTGCTAGAAATACAGTTAGACACGTCAAAGGAGACACCTGTGACCCAACATGGCTAAAGCATGTCTGCATTTTGTTGTGTAGATGGGAACTCTAACTATGTGCGCAATCCACATTAAAGTCGTGAATAATTAGTGTCAGGAAACAGTCATAAAATGCAGGCCCAAAAACACAACACCCTTCCTCTCAAACTGGCCCAAAAGGAAATCCCAAAAGCTCTGCATGAAATCAAATGACAACCGAAATCTTTTCTGGGGAGTAAATTCTACCATCCCCCAGAAAAGATTCCAAATGCAACAAGTACTTAAGAAACTATTATTCAATGTAACCAATCTCATTGCCCAATGCTCAGAGTCCAACCTCCCATTTCTGAGTAAAGAGCAGTCTCCCACTCCACTGCCAATATCCTGGATCTCTCCCAATAAAGCTTCAGGCCAGGGCATGACAGAGCTGAATCTGTGGACATACTGATGACTGCTTCTTATCCCTGGATTTCGGTGTATAGCCATACTGTGACTGCTGGATCTGTAAGGCCTTGTATACGGTCAGTCATAGAATGTAGCTGTCCTATTTCAGAGACACAGCACAGGCATGCAACAGCACACTGAAAAAAAACATTCCAATCCTTCCTTTTTCGACCAAACCACAAGAGTCATGATGGGAAACTGTCTTCCATCTCTAGAGCCCACTCCTATGGAGTACTATTGACAGATGGGTTGCATGGAGCCAGTAGGTAAAATCATAGGGCCTCATGGTCTCAGCAATACATGGATCATACCCAGCTATCCAAATATTAAAGGAAACAGTAGTGCCGGATGAAAAGAAGATGATTAAACTAAACCTGGTTTGGATGGAGGCAATACCAGTGGAGTAAAATGCTTCGAAGAACTTGCTGCCAGTATATTACCTCTCCTCAGATAGTCAAGTCTATAGACACAATCCTGGACCCATCATAAATCTCTGGCTGCAGAAAGATCCTCTTCAATCTATGCTTGTCTCAGCTTGTCAGACTCAGGCCCAGCCACAAGTGACCTGAGCAACTGTGATCGTTCAACTAGATTACCGTAGCAATATATCTAGAAATGAATTCACCGACATAAGGCTCCAACTGGTTCAAACTGCAGCAGCTCACCTTCTTAGCAACACAAACACTCAAAAGGACATCACTCCGGAGCCTGGCTCCTGCATTGGCTCAATTTAAATAAGGAGTCACATCAATGGGTCCTGCCTTCCAAGCTCCTCCACAGAAACACCTCAGTCACAAGGACCACTGTTGACTGTATCCTTTTACAGTCCTGTTTCAACACCAAAGTCATACTCTAACCATGACTGGGGACAACAGTATGTTAAGTGCTTCCCTGTGATATGGCTGAACACGTAGTGTAAATGGGCCTAGAAGGACACTGAAAAATCGACTTAGGCCCAAGGTTTAGGTTCTGAAAATAAATCTAGTTTAAAAAGGCCTCCCACCAATAGAAATGTTTCCATGCTCCCCCCCCCCCCCCCATTTTCACAGAAGCTTTTTTAAAGGAACACAACATGTTCTGCAGCATTGTAGCCTGAACATTGCAGATTCATGTCCAAAAGCAGTGCAGGCACAGATTAGAAACTGACTTGCCCATTCTTATTGCCTAAGCAGTCATGTGCAGTGAATTTGATATTTTCAAATTCTGTCAGCTGAGATGCTATTAGTAACAAATAAGGAAATTAAAAAAAAAAGAAAAAAAGAAAAGAACTCTGTTCGTGCGCCTCACAGCTCCCCTTTAAATTCTCCATGCAACTGGAAGTTACAGTGGCAAAGTGACAAGAATCAAGGAGGACTTGTGGCACCTTAGAGACTAACAAATTTATTTGAGCATAAGCTTTCGTGAGTTACAGCTCACGTCTTAGTCTCTTAAGGTGCCACAAGTACTCCTTTTCTTTTTGCGGATACAGACTAACATGGCTGCTACTCTGAAAAGAATCAAGGGTTCAGTACTTAATTGGTTTGTGAAGTATCTTGGCCTCTACACTAAATGAACTTGGCCATTAATTTTACTGCAACTTTAGAAACCTGTGAACAGCCAAATAAAAACCTTTGAATGTGGGAAGGAGCGTACAGCTGTCCTCAGCAAGCTGTTCTTATTTTGCTACTGCAGACACTCAGTCACACCTATAATTTAAGGTGATCTGCAAAAAATAAGTCACCTAATTTGTCTTTTTTGCTTCTTTATATACTTTACGTATATTTTCTTCTCTCCCCCCAAAAGGCAGATGCAGTGCTTGTTTTACCTTTAGAAATAATAAGGTTTTCATTTTCATTTTTGATTAAGGTGTCCCCTACAAGAGCCAAAGAACTGGAAAAAGAGCTCTGTGCCCTAAGCAGAAAAGGCATATCTTCAGAAATCTTCCTTCTCAACTGTTTGTCTAACATTTCAGCTAACTATGAGTTTAAATACAATTTCAGATAAACTGACTAAAAACCCTTTCCTCTCGGTTGGCTCAGGAACTGCTTCCTTCACACAGTACCACAACCCTACTAGCTCTCCAGCTAAAAATGGATAGCCAACACCCCAAATTTGCAATTAAACACTTCTAAACAGCTAAAAGAGGGTAAACACTCCCCCCACCCCCCACTTCTTAACCCAGCAAGTTTAAGATTGCACATTTTTCTTTAGGAACATAGCAATTTTCACACTGGATCGAACTTTACTCTCGGGGGAATTCTGCACCACTGCACAAGGCAGAATTATGCAGAAATTAATGTTGTGTGTGCAGAATTTCCTTCCCGCCCCCACAGAAATGGGCTGCAGAGATGTTGGCTGCCATCAGAGGCCACTGGACCCGGCAGAGCCCAGCTCACAAATAGAAGACAAGGCTGGGGAAAAGTGGAGTGAACTGGAGGGCTCCCAGCAGCTGCAGTTCCCAGCATGCCCTGAAGGAAGGAAACTCTGTGCAAGCCTGGGACCCAGTATCAGGCCGTTTCTCCTCTGGATCCCTGGGTAGGAGGTAGAGTGTCTGGTCTGGGGAAGGCCCTACAGCTGGGCTCGGAGGGGGAGGAGTGAGTGTCTAGGCTGGGGAATGCCCTATGGCTGGACTCTAGGTGGGAGGGGGTGAGTGTGCCTGGGCTGGGGAGGCGCAGCTGGCCTCAGGGGAGGGGGGAGGGGAAGTGTGTGGGCTGAGGGGTGTGTCATGGTTGGGCTGGGGGGGAAGAAGGGGTGTGTGTTTCTGCAATGGGGGAGGCCCGCAGCTGGCCTCGGGAGGAGGGGGGGAGGAGAGAAGGGGAAGTATCTGGGCTGGTGGAGGGTGCATGGCTGGGCTCGGAGGGGGAAAGGGTGTGTGTGTCTGGGCTGGAGGGGGCCTGCAGCCAACCTCTAGGGGGGAGGGGATGTGAGTGTCTAGGCCACGGAGGGCCCTATGGCTGGGCTCTGGGGGGCCTGCAGCTGGTCCCTGGGGGGCGGGAAGGGGGGCGGAGTGAGCCTGGCCCCCCAGCTGGGCTATGCAGGGGCGGGAGCAGAGAAACAGGAATTGGGTTGTCAGAGTGCAGGGGTGGGCAAATGTTTTGGCCTGAGGGCCACACTGGGGTATGGAAATTTTGCATGGCCGGTCATGAAATTCGGGGTAGGGGTGCAGGAGCGGGCAAGGGCTCCTGCTGGGGGTGTGGGCTCTGGGGTGGGGCCAGAAATGAGGAGTTCAGGGTGCAGGAGTGGGCTCCAGGCTGGAACCGAGGGGTTCGGAGAGCAAAAGGGGAACCAGGATAGGGCAGGCTATTGGGGCTCTGGCAGGGGGTGGAGGCTCTGGGATGGGGCTGGGGATGAGGGGCTTGGGGTACCAAGAGGGGGCTCTGGGCTGGGATCAAGGGGTTTGAAGGGGGATCAGGGCTGTGGCAGGGGACTGGGGCAGGCTCCCGGCAGCATGTCCCCCCTCTAGCTCCAAGGCGCGGCCAAGTGGCTCTGCGTGCTGCCCCGTCTGCAGGCACCACCCTTGCAGCTCCAACTGGCCGGGAACCACAGTCAACAGGAGCTGCAGGGGCAGCGCCTGCGGATGGGGTGGTGTGCAGAGCCACCTGACCATGCCTCTGCGTACTACATAGGAGCCAGTGGGGAAATCATGCTGGCTGCTTCCTGGAAGCCTCACGGAGCGGGACAAGCCCCTGACCCTGCTCCCCAGCAGGAGCTGAGGGCCAGATTAAATGGTCTGACAGGCCAGATGTGGCCTGCAGGCCGTAGTCTGCCCAGCCGTCAGAGGGGTTTCTTTAACAACACAGACAAAAAATTCCCCCAGCAGTAGAGAGTTACAGACATACTTGATGACAGATACTTTGAAATAAATTACCAAAATAATTGAAACTGGTGTGATTATATAGTGTTATTTTGACAAATAAAATTTGCACAATTTTGAAGTTTTAAAATATTGCATGCAGAATTTTTAATTTTTTGGTGCAGAATTCCCCCAGGAGTATGACTTGTAGTCTGGTATCTTATCTCTAAGAGAAGCCAGTTCAGGTATTTCAGAGGAAGATGCAAGAACCCTTGGACTGGCTACTTATGGAAAGCATCTTGGAGGGGGAGTTCCTGCCTTAACCCAACAATGACTAGCTGGGGTATGCACAAAAGGTGAGAACTCACACACTAGGCTATCCCAAAACTTCCACATTTGGGAGTGAAATTTGTCATGTGTCACCTCTACCCAAACAGGATTTTAATAGTTAGAGAAAACGCCCTTGAGCTCCTGAGTTATGGGACTATTAAGACTTTTTCCCATTGTAATGTAATAAATATTTTAGACACAATCTGCCCTTCCCTCAAACAGGCACAGAAGTAGTTGAAACACAGCCTTGTTTACTTGGGGCGTGGGGGAGGACTTTGATCAGAAAGTACAGACTCAGCTCTTTGATGTCTTGCTTAGGCTGCTCCAGCCAAACAGCTGAAAGGTGGCAGGAACAGGCAAGAATAAACACACACAATTTCAATGAGGCCAGCAAGACTATGCACTTTTAAATAGTCATCTCACAGAACTGAAACTAAGTTTTTCAGCTTGTGGGTTTTAGCAGGGCAAGGAGATTAACTTTCCCTTTGGTGCCAACAGTTGCTCCAGGGTGCAGAACTATCTAGAAAAGTATTAAGGAGCCTTTCTCTAAGTTCCTCATCCATCCCAGGTGTCTAAACATCCTTCTCCTGGACTAAATTGGACACTTCCTAGAACAATCTGTGATAAATTAGTCCTTCCCGGACTGAGGGCTGCTGTTATGACTAGCTTGGTGCAAATCAGAAATGTGGTAGAGATTAAAGGGCTCCTAAGGGAATGGCTGAGAACCAAAAGCTTCCCGCTTCTGAGTGTTTAGGGTGTGAAGGGGAGAAGCTAGTCATCTATTTTTCCAGACTCTATGCTTTTCCTTTGTTTGAAAAAGTGACATTTCTCATGACAGATTGCAAAGAAGCAGGTGTAACTAATGCGCAGTCTTGTCTTCCTGTATCTGCAGATAAGACAGCATTAGAGCTTCTGCAGCTACTGCTCAGAATTTTGCCAATCAGCTACAGAATGAAGTTATCCAGTTTCTGGGTAAGTCTCCCTGAGGCTGCTCAGAACTGTAGGCAGCAGTGAAATTATTCACTGGGGAAGGGAGCCCAAAACCACAGCAGCTAAGGGACTGGGTAGAATGTGTCTGTGTTCATAAGAATCAGCCTAAAAAACCCACAGCTGACAAATGAGGCTATCAAGAAACTGGTGTAATGATTGCCTGTCTCAGCAAGCACCAATAGACAGCCATACTAGAACATGCCCCGCAGGACATTTCACCTTCAGCTTGTGGGAAATTAAAGAGCTCTTACTATTAACTTTTTCACATAACATCACACCACCAGACTCTTCAGCATGATTAAAAATGCCTCAGCCAGAATAAACTAAGATACAGCAGCAGCTCTCTAAGCACAGACCTCAGCAGCCAGGAGTCTGGATTGCTGCTTTAGTCACCCCACCTGCTGCAAATCAATCAGAGTCTGGGAGTTTCTCCACAAGACCTATTAAAACTCTGGAGAACGTCAAGCACTGCTACTGTACTTCTCAGCCAACAATGCAACGTGAACATTCATCCATTTACCTCACATCACCCAGCCTCTCCTGAAAACACGCACCATGTCCTGTAAGCAAGAACTGCTTTACCTGCTGTTTGGGTCTGTTCTACGTGAGCTCTTAGGACAGGTCTACGCTGGGATTAGACACCCGCGGCTGGCCCGTACCAGCCGACTCCGGCTCGTGGACCTCGGGCTAAGAGGCTGTTTTATTGCCGTGTCCATGTTCGCAGTGCCCCCTGGGCCCGGACTCCAGCTCCTTGGCCCGAGTCAGCCGCGGGGATCTCAGTGCGGCGTTACGTACCCTCAGCACTAACGGTTGAGGCAGCAGCGCGTTACACCGCCCGCCCCACGCGGGCCCGCTCCGCCTCGGACTCGCTTTCTGAAGCGGGAGGAAACGGTCCTGCCGCTTTCAACACCAGCCCAGCGGCAGGCTGCAGCCGAGCGGCCCTTCCCCAGCGCAGCAAGTCCCTCGTTCCTCCGGAGCCGTGTCCCCGGCCGCCCCCAACGCTCCCGCAGGCGCAGCCAGGGACTCGCCAGAGGACCGCTGAGAACGCTCCGGGCCGCAGCCAGGAGCCCCGGGCCCCGCCCCAGAGCCCCGGCCGCCAGGCATGCTGTGTGGGGCTCCGCCCCCGCGGCCGCCCGGGTCCGTGGCGAGCCGTAGGGCCAGCGCGCTCCCCAGTCGAGGCGTGTGGTGTGAGGGGATCGCTGCCACCCCCCAGTACCTGCTCAGCGCCGCCCCTCACGAGCCACCGGACACATCGCTCCCACGCACGCGCGCCAAACAGCACCCGCTTCCACTTCCTTCCAGCCAATCACCGACCACAAGGGGCCAGTTCCCATGTACGGTAAGGTAGCGAGGACAAAATACCTGTCGTCACAGATCCGCGTAGTACTAGAATCCAACGCGGGGGCGGGCGGTGTCACAGTGCCGGTCGGGGCTCAGTGCTGGGGGCAAGGCAGTGCCACGCTACGGGGCGGGCTCAGTGCAGGACTGGGCCGTGTCGCACTGTGGGTAGCTGAGAGGTGGGGCTCAGTGCTGGGGCTGGGCCATGTCACACTCATTAGGGGCAACGTTCCGTGCGAGTGGGCAGGCTGGGTAGTGCCACATTAGGAGGAGGGTCAGGGCTAGGGGCATCACACTGTGAAGGTGATGCCCTGTGCTGGGTGGGCAGGACTGGGATGAGGATCAAAGCTGGAAGCAGAGGTGTCACATTGGGGGTGATGCTCAGTGCTGGGGTGGCATGGGGCAGCCTTACACAGGGATGAGAGTCAGGGCTGGGAGGGGTGAGGCTGGGCAGTGCCACACTAGGGGCAGCGCTCAGTACTAGGGTCTTGGCTGGGCAGCTGGGGGTGTTACAGAGCAATGTCATACTGTTGGACAATGTACTGTACTGCATAGGTGGGGCTGGTCAATCTCACTGCGATAAGGATAAATGCTGGGGGCAGAGGTGTCACAGTGGGGGTGATGCTCAGGGTTGGGGCTAGGGAGTGTCACAGTGTAGGGGTGATGCTCAGTCATGGGTGAGGCAGTAGCAGTGAGGGTCAATGCTAGGGGCAGGTCTGGGCAATGATACTGTGCCATTCTTCTGTAACATTAAAAGTGGTCTGACTCCTGAAAAGTCAATACTCTCCTACATTGTTGATCCCCATTGTTAATTTATGGAACAGAAGGGCTGCTCCTCTTACAACAGCTGTAGCCATCCGCTAAAGTTGGATTGGGGAAACTCCATGCAGTTTTGTCAGGATAGCTGTCAAGTGTTTTGTGCCACCCAGGCAGCACAAACGGGCCAGAGAAAAAGCTGAAAATGACCTAATATCTCCATTTCTTTACATAAAGGATAAAAATGTAAGAGACACTTAGGTTCCAAGCACCAATAGCATGATCTCCCACCTATGGCACAAACAAGCATTTAAAAGCCAGGCCACGACTGTCTCTGTTCTAAAATATACTAGATTCTGGCTTGAAGAATTGACCATCTAGAATTTAGACCTGAAGTTACAAATGGGGGGTGATGGTGACAGGAGGAAACAAAAACAAAGGAGAGGAAGGAAGGTGTGTTATGGATGAGGGTACATGTGGAAGGAAGGGAACAGGACAATGCACCCTAAAGAACAGAAGGTAACTCAGTTATGCAAGTGTGTAGGGCCAGTTATCTGCTACACAGGACTGTGACTGTTGGCAATATGCAGGACATAGTGAATAGATTTGCAGTAATAGACTACCCAAAGTGAAGTGGGGCCATACACAGCATGCATATTCCTCTTTTGGCAACAGGCCACCTTGCCACAAAGCAGATCAGCAAAAATGGCTACTTTTCTATGCTTATTCAAGCATTGGTGACTCATAAGTAACATTTCACAGATATCAACATGGGTTGGTCAGGGAAAGTGCATGACAGTCACTTCTTTAAGAACACAGCTGTTCAGAAAGCTGCAAGCAGGGTGAACCAGGATGTACAGCATTTGGATTTGCTGAATTATGGCTTAGGTTGTTTCCCTCTTTGTCCTGGTGGGACTCCAGAGACTTTTTTTTCCATGCTAGAAAAACAAGAGGGCAAGGTAATATCTTTTATCAGACTAACTTCTGTTTCTGAAAGAGAAACTTTTGAGCTTACTTAGAGTTCTTCACACGTGACCTGAAGAAAAGCTCAGTGGTAAGCTCAAAAGCTTGTCTCTTTTTCACCAACCAAAGTTGGTCCAATAAAAGATACTACCTCACCTACCTTGTTTCTCTAGTATCCTAGGACCAACACAGCTACAACAAACACTGCAAAATGACAATGGAATATATCACATTTTTCCATGCTTTTGGTCATATCAGTCCTTTTTTTCCATGGTCCAGTACAGCATCTCTCAGAACATGTGCTCCCTAGTTTTCTTCTCTCTCGATCAGGGTCAGGAGTTCTGCAGGTGTAAAGGGAGCATTGCTCGAAGCTGCTTTATAAAAGCAGTACAGCTGTACCACTGAATTTACAGTCACAGGGGAAAGGGAAAGATAAGTTTCAAAGCTGCCTTTCCCATTTGCATAAATACTTTAATGACAAAAGCTTATTCATGTTTCAGCTTTGGAACAGCTCAGCCCTGCACCACTCTCCGTTCCCCACCAGGGACAAGGGGGATAAGGATTTTCTTTTGCATGAAGCTATAAAATGTTGGTTCCTGTTTCATGGGTATGAGTATAAGACAATAGCACGGAATATTAGAACTATTTTCCACAGACGGTGGTGGTTTTAGCTGCTCTCACACAAGGATCACAAAGGCACAGAGAACACAGCTGCTACTGGCATCCTGAGCCTGGAACGTCGCTAGCCAGTTTACTGCAATGGTATCAGCCGAACTCATGACAAAGCGGTGTGGGAAAGTGTTCGCCTGTGGAGGAAGAAATAAGGCAACCTGGGAACCTTTAGGAGAGGATTGCAGAGCATCTCCCTGAAAGTTTCGAGATCTCTCAGGAGGACAAAAAGGAAATCTCTATGCAATACAAACAAAATGCTCTGCATGCCACCACCACCCCGCCCAACCTAATGGGAATGAAAAGAAGATACCAAGTCGGTCTATCTGTCTCTTGTACCACTACTCTTCTAGTATGAATAAAACAATGAAAGTCAATATCTTTGTCTTGCAAGCCTGGAATGGTTCGGGTGCATCTTAAATTTGAGCAATGTAATGAAAAGTGCATGCACACGCTTACCTGAGTTCCCTTCCCCTTCATCAGGCTCATCTGCAATCACCTGGCATGACTGGCTACACTGACGTCTCAAATTGGCTCGTGGTTTGGTAGGAGTCCCCCGCCCCATTTCCCACCTCCTCTTCCCCATTCATGGCAGGGGTCTCTGGCTTAGGCTCCTCAGAGGTATTCATGGTGGTGTGCTGGTGCGGTCTGCAGCAAGTATGACATGAAGTGGCAGGTCTGTAGCACAGCACCAAATCTATTGCACTCCTTAACTTTGTGGCATCCCTGGCAAAGTGCACACAGCACTGCTGCTGATCCCTGTTATACCCCTTTGCCTGCATCCCCTGAACAATTTGTTTGCACATTGCTATAGCTCTTCTGCAGCTGTGCTTGCTAAGTCTCTTCTCTCAGGCTCAGGAGATCCAATATTTCTGCCTACTCCAGCCAGGAGCATGTCTAGTGCTTGGAACCAGCCTGGATGGTCAGGCAGTTGCACACAATGGAGAGCTGCTAGATGTGCTTACCAAGGTGGGTATTCAGGGAAAGGCATTTCAAAATCATGCTGCATGCAGGAAGTTTTAAAAAGGGGGAGGAGTGGTTTCAAGTCTCTATGACTACTGGATAGTGGAGTTTACAATTGTGACTAGAGTGGTCACTGTGACAGGGAATGGGGCATTGTGGAACAGCTGCTGGAGGCCTATTAGGGTCAACACAAGTCATGCAGTGTCTGCATTCACACTGTGTCAACCTCAGTAGGTTGACCACAGTTCTATGCCGTTTGGGGAGATGGTTTTACTGCACTGCTGTAACAGGGCGATTATGTCAGCTGCAGACAAATTGAATGTGAACGTGCACACATAGGTCAGTGCAAGGCGATTTATGTTAATCTATCTATACCGTAGACAGGGAGTAGTGTTATGATGGTGGCAGAAAAACTCTCTGTTGGCATATGCTGTGCCTTCACTAGAAGGCTCTGCCAATATAGTTGTATCAGCAGGGCCTGTGTAGTGTAGACTAGCCTCTATTAACTTACACAAACAGATTGACAACCAGCATGGTACAAAATATTTTACTGTTAATTGTCAAGGGTATTAACAATATTTCCGACATAACATATTTTGTAAGAAAATTTAGATATAAAAATCAAGACTACAAAGGGAGGTTACTTACCTAGTCCGTAACTAGAATTCTTTGAGATGTATTCTCTATATGTTCTCCACATGCCAGATATTGGAACACTTTAGCCAGCAGTGTCCATTGGTCACACCCGCTCCCTGCACAGCCTCAAGCCTGTCTCCTCTCACCCCCAAGGGCATAAAAGGGGAAAGTGTGACCAACTGATCCTCAGCTCTTTCACCACTACCCAGTCCAAGATATTAGGTCTGGCAGTAGTGGGGAAAAGGAGGGTGGGTTGTAGAACACATGTAGAAAACATCTTGAAAACTCCAGTTACTGAACAGGTAAGTAACTTCCCTTTCTTCTTTGTATGCTTGCCTATATATGATCCACATCCGGTGGTTCACAAGGAGTACACCACACAGACAGAGGGTACTACTGCAAGTCTAATTAAATACGGATTTTAATAGAGCCCCGCCCAGGTGAGCACCTGCATGCAACATCGCCACAATAATGTTTTGTGAACGTACATTACTCCAGGTAGCATCCCTACAATTATCAACTGTAGGAATACCTCTAAATGAGCCTGCCTGGGCCCCGGCTGAATGTGCCCTAATGTTCCCAGGTAGCTGTAAACTGGCCATCTCATAAAATAACTTTATACAACCTGACATCCATCTAGAAATCCTCTGGGTTGAAATTGCCTGAACCTTAGATCTTTCAGCAACAGAAGCAAAGAGCAGAGGGGATGACCTAAATTCATAGATTCCAAGGCCAGAAGGGACCATTGTGGTCATCTAGTTGGACTGCCTGTCTAACACAGGCCAGAGAACTTCCTCCAAAATAATTCTGGGAGCAGATCTTTTAGAAAAATATCCAATCTTGATTTAAAAATTGTCAATGATGGAGAATATACCATGCCAGCGATAAATTGTTCCAATTGTTAATTTCTCTCACTGTTAAAAATTTACGCCTTATTTCCAGCCTAAGTTTAACTAGCTTACAGCCATTGGGTCACATTACACTTCTCACTGCTAGACTGGAGAGCCCATTTTTAAATGTTCCCCATGTAGATATTAACTTACTGTGATCAAGTCACCTCTTAACCTTTTGTTTGTTAAGCAAAGTAGATTGAGCTACTTGAGTATGGCTATCAGGCACATTTTCTAATCCTTTAATAATTCTCATGGCTCTTCTCTGAACCCTCTCCAATTTATTAATATCCTTCTTGAACTGTGAACACCTGAAGTGGAGACAGTTTTTCTGCAGCAGTCGCACCAGTGCTAAATACACAGGTAAAATAACCTCTCTATTCCTACTGGAGAAGATTTTTTCCTAGTGAAATAAATGGACAAGGCACATATGATATCTAATATGTGTAGTTCAGCTTCACCCTTGGTTGAGTGTGGTTTCAGAAAGAACACAGGTAAACAGACAGATTTATTTTTTAAATGAAAAATCAGTCAGCACTTTAGAAAATAATTTAGGGTGCAGTCTGAGAATAACCTTGTCTTTGCAGAAAATCATATATGGCAGAAGATGCTTACAACTCACTCACCTTACGTGCTGATGTAATAGCCACAAGGAAAGCTGTATTTGTCCATGAAGACAACTGGGAACAAGAAACCCAGTGGTTTGAAAGGATGATCCATGAGTCCAGTAAGTAGTAGTGTTCGTGGACTGCCAGTGTAAGAATCTCCCTTGTAAAGACCAGGTCCAATAGAAAGGGAGAACCTGGGTCCAGAACAACAAAGAGATCCCCTGGAGTGAAGCTGTCACGAGGGGATTGAAGAGTCTTCTCTCTTGGGAGCTGGTGTTACCTTATGCGCTCACATTGGTACCAGTGGTACATGGGGTTCTTGAACGTCCTTTGCCAGTACCGATGGTTATCCGAGCCTTGGCTCATGCCTCTCTTTGCTTGGTATCAACAGTGCCAACATGCAGGTACTTATACTATTTGGATCCAGTGGGATGGTATCATAACTCGTACGTGCTCTTAAACCTCTTGGAACCAGGCACAAAGAGTCACTCATTCGTGAAGGTGCTGGGGAAGCAGCCCTCACCTTAGGAGGTTGTTCTGGAGGGGGATCTCTCTTTAGGCTTTTGAGAGGCTTTCTACCCTCATGGTGAGCTTGGGAAAAGGATTCCTTATCTTTGCTCGCCCCTGTCTCAGAGACAATGGAGCTGGGTGGTATGTTCCTCAATGCTTCTGGGCCAGGCAGACCCCCCACCCGCCCATGTACATTGGCATATTAGGCTGGGGCCTCACAGCACGTTCCATGAGATGTTTCCTAAGTCTGAATTCCTGAGCTTACAGGGCTCAACTGGGAATGGAATGGCAGATACTCCACTTAGCAGAGATATGAGCTTCTCCAAAGAAGTATGGGCACCTCTAATGGTCATTGCTGACCACGAAGGATCGGGGGCAGGAGATGCTGTTCTTGAAGCCTGGAATCCTGGGCATAATCTGAATCCTTTACCAGAATGGCAGCAGCCCCAGACAGGGGAGTCCCCAAAATCTATCTAACTAAACTAACTCTAAACTGCTATTAACAAAATTTTATTTTTTACAATACTTACAGAAATGAAGTCGAATGATCAGCTTCATGGACACTGGAGGGTTTTGTCTCACACCACACAGCAGTAGAAAGGAAATGGAGAGGTGGACGGTCCACACCATCCCTTATACCGTTCATCTGGGGCACAAGGAGTGGAAAAGTACAGACGTGGACCAATGGACACTTCTTGCAACAATCTTTCAGTCTCAAGAGCATGGAGCCCGTGTACGCACAGAGACACCAGCACTCAAAGAATTTGATGCTGTATCAGCAGCACCAGTTGCAACTTGTACAGAGGTCTTAGCCATTAACTGACTTGAGATGAGAGATTTCAAGTCCTTTCTAAAGTACATGGACATTTATCCAGAAACTCCTCAGTCTTATCCCATGAAAATAGTCATAGTGAGAAAGAAGAGCCGGATAATTTGCTAAGCAAAGTGGTACGCTCGAGGACAAATGACTTTTTATGCCCAGGAGATCCAACTTTTTTGGTTCTTTATTCTTAGGGATACTTTTAAAGGGTGTTGATAGGTCCAGAGACCCTAGTTCATTGGTTCCCAAACGGGTTCGCAGAACGTTACAGGGGATTCACCAGAAAAATTTCACTAACGGCGGCCAGAGGACCCTGAGCATTGGAGACAGCAGGTAGGACCCGGTTGCAGGGCAGACAGCCCGAGCCCCAGGGAGAGTGGGGCCGGGCCATTGGGGTTGGCAGCCTGAGCCCTGACCCCATCAGCAGGGGAGTCACCAGTCCGAACCCCAGCACTCCATGTGGGGCTGGCAGCCCAAGCCCCAGGGAGAGTGGGGCTGGGCAGTTGGGGGCAGCAGTCCGAGCCCCGGCAGTCAGCGGGACCTGCAACCTGAGCTCAGTTGACTGGGGCAGTCAACGGGGTCCAGCAGCTGGAGCCCCACAGAGTGCGGAGCCGGCAGCCCAGACCCCGGTGCAGGGCCAGTAGCCGGAGCCCTGTGGTGGGCAGGGCGGTAGCTGAGACCCCAGGCGCACAGGTGGCAGCTCAGACCTCTGGCTTGTCATCAAGGGCAGAGTGAGCAGGGGCCACGCTGTACGTGGGGGGTGGTCCAAGCTAATTTGTCCCTCGCAGGGCACCCTCGTAGGGATGGACCTCATGCCAGAAGAAAAGCTGTTTGCAAGCCAAACCAGCTGGAAGCACATTGTAGCCAGTGTAGCAGTGTTAAGGTGCCTCAGTAATTGTCATTCTCTCTGGAGTGCTGTTTTGCTTCAGTGAGACTTCAGTGAATCTTCTCATTTCTTAGTTTGTTGGTTGTTAGCAGTCTCTCTGTTTTATTTTTATTAGAACTTTTGTACACAAGTTCAATGGATAAGTGGCTGAAAGGGGAAAGCGTAAAGATGCAAGAATCAGCTAGTGTTTCCTCAAGTCCACACTATGGAAATTAAGTCTAATGATCATGATGGTCCTAGAAAGTCACTTACAAAAAAAAGAAAATATGACGACGATTATATAAAATATGGTTTTACATGCATTGGTGATCAAGAACGTCCAAAACCACTGTGTGTGATTTGTGGTGATGTTCTAGTAAACAGCAGCCTCAAACCTTCTCTACTTCGGTGCCATTTAGAAACTAGGCATCCTGCACAACTCAACACGCCTGTTGATTTTTTCAAGCGAAAATTAGCTGAAAGGAAAAGTGACATTAACAGTTTTATATCCAAAGCAAGTACTGATAATGAAAATTCACTTGAAGCGTCATACCACGTGAGCTACCAATTAGCAAAAGCATCAGAAGCCCATACCATAGCAGAGAGCTTGATTGGTTCATGTATAAAAGACGTAATTCATTGCATGCTCAGAGAAAAGGCTGCGAAAAGGATTGACATGATACCTTTGTCCAATATTACGTTGTCAGGAAGAATTAATTACATGTCAAATAATGTAGAGACCACAATTGTAGACAGAGTGAAAAATAGTCCATATTATGCTATATAGTTGGATGAATCAACTGATGTAGCTAATCTAGCTATTTTGCTACTGTTTGTACGTTACGTGAATGAAGGTATGGTTGAAGACGACTTGTTGTTTTGCTGACCATTGGAAGAATGTACAACTGGAGAAGATATCGTCAATCTGACTAATGCATATTTTCAAGAAAAGGAAATAGATTGGTCTCGTTGCATAGGCATTTGCACTGATGGGGCCACATTAATGACGGGAAAGTATACTGGATTTGTAGCTCGAACAAAAAAGGCTTCATCAAAAGACTCTTGGACTCATTGCAGCATCCATAGACAAGCCCTCGCAACAAAACGCATGCCTGAGGGACTGAAGGAAGTGCTGGACAATGCAGTGAAAATGGTGAATTTCATAAAATCACGGCCAAAAAATTCCAGAATATTTCACGTACTTTGTGAAGAAATGGGTAGTATACACAATTGTCTGTTGACCAATACTGAAGTTAGATGGCTGTCACGGGGCAAAATCCTTGTGCGCTTGTTTGAGCTTAGAACAGAAATCCTAGTTTTTTTTCAACAGCCACCCTTTCTACCTTGTCAGCTGTATGGAAAATAATGCCTGGCTCCATAGCATAGCTTATTTAGCAGATATTTTGTCAAGAATTAATTACCTAAATTTATCTCTTCAAGGCCTCAATATAACAATTTTCAATGTGCAAGAGCGAGTTGAATCCATGACAAAGAAGTTGCAGTTCTGGGAAAGTTGTTTGGAAAACAATCAAACTGAGTGTTTCAGTAATCTTCATGGCTTCCTGGCAGAACATAAACTTCAGTTGGATCAGTGCACTAAAACCAATGTAATTGCACACCTAAAAGGACTTTGCACAACTTTCAGGGAATACTTTCCAGCTATGTCAGATGATCATTACTGGATTCGCAAGCCCATTTGATTATACCACTTTCTCAACACAGATATTGAACACTAAGGAAAAAGATAAATTGATTGAGATCTCCTGTGATTATGAACTGAAAAGGAGTTTCAGAAATTTGTCATTGATCAACTTTTGGCTGAGTTTAAGAAACAAATATCCCCTTCTGGCAGAAAAAACTGCTGCAGTTTTGTTACCATTTTCAACAACATACTTATGCGAGAAAGCGTTTTCCTCGTATGCACATCTGAAAACCAAATACAGAAACAGACTTGATGCTGAACCAGACCTGAGACTTTATCTTTCTCCAGTGGTTCCAGACTTCCAAGAGATATGCAGGAAAAGCAAGCGCAGCCATCACACTGAGGAAATTTAAACTTAAAACCCTGGAAATATTCATTTTTAGGAGGGGGTTCACGAGATTTCACAATTTAGTGAAAGGGGTTCACGGGCTGTTAAAGTTTGGGAACCATTGAGATAAAGTAATGTGTAAGTGGACAAAATGGAACATTGCCAGCTGGTTCTGTCTCACAGCCAGAAGTGGTGAAAGGAACTCAGGGTCCTTTGGTCACGCCTTCCCCTTGTAGATGGCGTGACCATCTCCTTAAGAGAAGAGAGGCTTGAGGCTACACTGGGAACTGATGAAATCAATGGACACTGCTGGCAAAAATGTTCTGATCTCTGGATCAGGGATCTTCAATCTCCCGCATGAAGAGGTATAGACACAGAAGACATTTAGACAAGTGCTCGAATATATTTTAATCCCAATGATCAGAACTCAGTTTGCTGTTTTGGGATGAAATATAATAAATTGGTTAGTCTCTAAGGTGCCACAAGTACTCCTTTTTTTTTTTGTACTTCGTTTACTAGTGAGCTCAATTCTCTATTGCCTTGTATCCTTGGTCACTCATACTGGTGCAAAGTGCATGTAAAATGTACACCCACTTTGCACAGATGTAAATGACTGCACAAGGAGGCAAGGGAATGGAGGCCCACTTAGTGTATTGCTGGTTATTTTGTGGATGATGTGAAATTTACAATTTCCTTCGCTTTTTATTTCTTGCTATTCAGAATTTGGATTTGGTAAGTGATGTGAACTTGTTACTTCATAGCTACCTGGTTTTGAAATGTTTTGGTTTTAGAGTAATTCAGCCTTATATGGAGAGAGACAAGCATGGATCAAGATTTTCAAAAGCAGCTTATGCTTTGAGTGCTCAACTTAAGACATCTTAAAAGGGCGTAATTTTCAGAAAGTGCTGAGCACCTGCCCTCTATTAAAGAGGTTGGGTTGCACACCCAAAATCACTAGCCATTTTTGAAAATCTTGCCCATAAACTGAAGTCCAGGTAGCCTGTTACCTTTCCGCTCCTGTGTCCTGCCCAAACAGAACATTGGCAAGTCAAACCATTTGAGGGTATCATCTTTAAAATGACGCAAATCTGGAACATAATAAGAATCACGAAGAGGTTCTACATAATATAATATTTATCACAAATGAACAAATAGAAGTCTTAAATATTTTAAAGTAGCCAGTGGATATAAAATTCCGTCTGTTTGGAATTGGAGAGTATTTCCTGATCAGTAAGAAACACCTGTCAAAACTGCTTCTCGGTAGATAAGAGTGCACATCGGGGTGGAAAGCCATGGCTGTAGTGTTTTTCTTTCATCCATCAGAAATTGCATTCCGCAGACCAGGGCTCAGATGGTTGGGATTTAGTGGGGGTTGGGGTGCAAGATAACGTAAGTAATACATCATTTTGCATGTGAGATGCCTGCCCCAGGAGAAAAGGGTGCAGTAGCCCAGCACCCCAGCAGGACACTGCAGATACTGCTGTAGCCTGTACTGTGCATCTTGTCCACTTAAGGCAGATATCTGTCTGCACCTAGAAGGCACTCCCTGCCTTCTCCCTACTCAGAGGAAATAAGGAGAACACCTCCCTGGTACCTGCCCCCTCTGCTTTCCCCTAGAGCTCACAGCAGCTCTAGCACCAAACAAATTAACGCCAAATGCTGAGGCAGAGGACATCCCGCCAGGAGAGGTTCTCCATAGACAGAACATTTCGAACAGTGCTCTAATCTCAGCTCATCTGTCAGAGCAACAGCTGCCTCCCTTAGCAGTGCCTATCAGGCACAGACTGCATGGACGGGTCATACTGCCAGAAAGACTGGCCATTGCAAACATTTTCAAACCAAACCCAGGTGCCTAAAAAGCTTCTAAATATAAAGGGTGTCATTTTCAAATGTGCTGAGCATCTGCAGTGCCCAGGGATGTAGTGGGAGCCAGGATCACTCAGCATCTCTGAAAATCAGGCTACTTCTTTAGGTAGCTTAATATGGATTTAAAAGCCCTGAAATGAGGCAGCAGGTTGGAAAACATTTGCCTCTAGCAGCAAAACATACAAGGTAGGGTCTCTGTTGCTGCCCATGTACTTTATAATCAAGTCCGCTAACATCTACAAAACACAAAATGCCTCTTGCAGAACTAACTGTCATCTGGATGCAGTGGGAGAGAAGATTATTCAGTCCTGAATCAGCAGAGTGTGGAATCAACAGCACAACGTTGATACTGGGCTGTTTCATCTCATCGCAGACTGTCAGCCAACCTTGAGCACATGGACATATTGGGGATGGCAACAATGCCCGCTTGACTTCCTTAATTATTTCAGCCAACTCCAATCAAAACTCTAGAAAAGAAGCAAAAGAGCAACTAGAGTTCAGTCAGCTTATCAATTTTCAAATCAATGACCACCTGCCTGGGAGCTGCATTGTCCAAAACCACTCACTGATGGCAGTCTTGGAATTATAAGGAGAGACTGAAGTGGGTAGTGTTTTAACTATCCAAGACCCGCTGGTAAAAACCACAGCAAATCGAGGTATTTCAAAGACTTCTGACATTTCACAAACAGCAACTACTTTCCGGATCAAGAGCCTGAAAAGAAGTCACCCTGAATCTATTCTCAGCATTGGGGAGGAACTGATGAGAAACCAGAAATGAAGAATTTGTGTGGCCAGGGACTGTGAGCTACTGAAACTCAGTATACTGGCAGACAGTTAACCTTTGACCTCTAGGCTACTGGTTTCATCTGACACAGATCAGCAGGGACCAGAAGTCCTTACTGTCTGAAGGCTATTGGGTAACCACAGGAGATGAGTTAATGGTGTCAGCTCAGTCCCTACTATCACAAACCCACCACATTAGCTGGCACTAACTGGACCTTGGTGGTGGTCTCAGCAGCAATACTTGATAAAGTGTCAGAGCTACTGATAAGCAATTGGTTTGTAAATTAGCAGAAAATAAGGTGAGAAGTAGTAAGCAACAAAGGGTCATCAAAACCAGACATTAAACCCTAAAGGCTAGATTCTGTGCTGTGCCCCTGAAAGGTGCAGCCCAGAAGAGGAGGCCAAGGAGGCTTTAGATAACATTTCATCCTCCAGATTCTGGGCAACTGGGCTCTGCCCTGGGAGCTGCTCTAACTTACAGTAACCTCCCCAGGGCTGCCTATCGCTGTTCAAGAATCCGGTGCTCACTTTGGCTACTCTACCTCCCTACCCCATCCTACTCTAGGGTTTGTGGGGTCCACAAAGGACAGATTATGCTGGCCATATGTTGTTCCCGTGTTGGGAAAATTCTTTACTGTTCTCTTACACAACTGCCACAAAGGTTATAGGGGTCAGAGCAGTGATCCCCTTAACATGTTCTCAAGTGGCTGGTGAGGAGTGGAAGCATGTTGTATATGTAGGTTTTAGCATGGCTTCATAGGAAATCATTCTCAGGGAAACGTGTATTGAAGGGAACATCTAACATTCCAGCTAGGGAGTAGCTTAATGTCACAGTTGGAGGAGAAGTGAAATCTTAATCCCAAGGTCACAGCAGGGATATTTAGATAAATGTAACTGCATAAGGAGCTTGCAACAGAACAAGCTGCCAGGAAAGAGTGTGGCATCTGACACAGATCATCATCATTAGTTTGGACACCATACTGAGTGCTCATGGGAACAGCTTCATTTCATCCATTAGAGATGGGCTGAAACAGGTGAGGATCCTTGCCTGCTCAAGGGGAAGGATAGGAGGAGAAGAACTAGCTGGCCCATAGTTTCTGCCTAGCCCAATGACTTATGAATTCCAGTTTCTCATTATTTAGAGAAAGGTGAAATATCCTTCTGCTCAGACACTAGGTCCCAGATTGACATCATACTTGTCCACTCACACCACTTGTTCCTCCTATTCCCTACTCACTCTGAACCTTAAGCCCATTCCTACTGCCCCTTCTGCTCTTGTCAAGTCAAAGGGTGGACATGGCTCAGGAACAGGAGAAAAGGTTTACTGCAGGCAGTTCTTTCTACTCTATAACAAGATCTTGAGAGATAATGCTCCCACCACCGTCCCCTGCTTGCCACATCCCTGCTTGAATAGCTTGCCTATTTCCAGAGCCAGGAATAGGATTCCTTAGCTGATGCTTTTGTCAGTGCACCTGCTATCCTTTGTGAGCAACTCACCAGGACACTGCACATATACACTTGACAGCAGTAGCCTGACTTGTCACAAAGGACCAGAGATATATTTTAAGATACGCTCAGTAAGCAAAAGCTTCCAAGCCAATGACAGCTTTGAAAATCAAGCCTTTGAATCATAGAAACAGACTTACCATCATGCTGCTGTTCTGCTCCTGTTTTGCCTCTTGAATGATAGTGCTAAAGCGGTCCAGATAGTTCAGATTCTCTTCTATCACACGGGCAAAAACTTCCCTATAAAAAAGGCATAAGGGGGCAGATTTAAACTGTGACTGACCCACTCCTCCGGAAGGAGGACAGGGAGAGGAGGAGATAAATTTACAGCAGTTTATCTGCAATTCAAAAAGTTACTCTGCAACTGTATTTGGCATGCCACTCTGCTGATGCCAAGGGATTGACAGAGGGCTTCCAGCCACCATCCACAGGGCAAAGATTAAGTTAGGAATGATTCACTGCACAATAATATCCTGCACTTCACTCAGGACAGAGCAGAGTTCCAAAGAGGTGCCATAATACTGGAGACCTCAAAGATGAATAGAAATATCATGAATTACCTGGGATCTAATCTGAAGCAGCCAATTTCTAAAATTCTGAGTAACCAAGTATGACCTTAAGAGCCCCTTGATGGCAAATGGCAAAAGACTCACTGTTCTGTAAATACAACGGTTACCAGGCCTGCCAAACTCACTGCATCTGAACGCTGCTGTCATAATATTTATCCAAAAAGCATCTTGTAAAAACTGGTGACCCTCTGGTCATTAATACTGCATGATGTAGAAATGGTTACTTACTGTAAGTGTGGTTCTTCAAGATGTGATGCAGACGTGTATTCCAGGTAGACACATTCACCCTGCAGGCCAGAGACTTTTGCCTATCAGTACTCTTAGGGGGGTGGCACTCATGTCTGTAGCCCCTCTCCTGACTATATGAGGCCGCACCACCGCAACCCCTCTCAGTTCTTTCGCACTGAACACCCAGGGGAAGACACTGATGCAGAGGAATAGAGGGTGAGTTGTGGAATACACGTCTGCATCACATCTCAAAGAACCACAGTTACTATAAGTAACTGTTTCTTCTTCGAGTAGATGCAGATGAATATATTCCACCAGGTAGGTGATTCACAAGCAACAACGCTCAGTTCCTTTGCACCAAACGTCCAGAGGAAGACTCTGATGCAGAGGGGACAGAGGGTCCATTGTGGAATACACATCTGTCTAACCTTTTATCTGACCAGGACTGAACAGTTTCATGCTTGCCTCGCCTGTTCATATCGTATCCGGATTGCATGAAGGGACAAAATTTCTGTGCGGACCATCTCTAGGTGATAACGTCTTGTACAAAGACATGAGCGCTACCAGTGTAAGAGTACTGCTAGGCAAAAGTCTCCGGCATGTGGGGTGCACACATGCCCCCTAGAATACATGTCTGCATCACATGTCGAAGAACCGCAGTCTAACGTATGGAGGTGTTACTCCTCCAGGGAACGATGCAGCTTAGGGAAAAATACAGGCAAATACACAGCCTGTGCAAATGAAACAGAATCTGCCTTGGATAAGAAGTTTGGGTGTGGTTGGAACATTACCTTGTCCTTGGAGAACTGCATGTAAGGAGGCCCCACCATCAGGGCCTGCAACTCACCCACCCTCCTGACAGGTAATGGCTATCATGAATGCAGTTTTCTGAGACAGAGGTGGCAGTGGACAGGATGCAAGAGAGTCGAATGGAGGCCCCAATAGAGCTGTTAAAACTTCCTATGATCTAATACTGTTCAGAAAGGTACTGAGCAGTACAAGATGCGCATCTCTGTGGGAATAAGGCTGGGACTAGAGAGCTTGCGGGTGTTGCCCTGTATGTAATTCATGAGTGATTGGTCAGAGTGCTCATTATTTAGCTGGGAGTGAATCTGCATGCTGAAGGCTGCGTGAACAGGCAAGAATTGGCTGTTCTGATAGCAACACAGTGTAAAAGGCACCCCAGGCTAGAGAGTTATGGGTACAAAGCTGTTCAACTGTCCAGATTGTACCCTGGGTAATGTTACAGTCTGATGCAGGCCTCGCTGATTTCTCTAACCAATAGTTTTCAGACAGTTTTCTCTGGATCTAGCAGCTCTTCGGATAAGGACTTGCAATCCTTAAACGTTTCCTAACATCTCACTCACCCAGGCAGTAGACATAATTGGGAAACATCAAGAAGTGCTGCACAGGTTTGTGGGATTTTTAAAAAATGGTATGAAAATTATGGACTATGGATGGCATTACTGAATGGAGAAAGTTGCATGCTGGGACCATGGCCCCCAGCTCCCAGAGATCTCTGGGCAAGTTGTTTCTATCCGACAACACATTGCAAAAATTTCCCAAAAGGCATTGTGCCAGACAGTGGGATACTTACCTGTGGCGCACTGCACTTTGCATCGACACAGGCACTGCTGGTGACTACACGCAGTTCTGACGCAGCTGTACACCCATGTAACTTGAATCAATCATAATTCGTAGTGTAGACATAGCCTTGGAGTGAGCATTATTAACATGCATAACAGCCTCACATAAACATTTAAAACCTCAAAAATTTTAAACAGACACAAGGAGGTCTCCCTACTTGGAAAAAAACAAACCAAATAAAAAAAAATACTATTAAATTAAAACCCATCAACTACTACAATACACCCTAACTAAACTATTTATAGATAAACTAATGTGTGAATGGATGAGATGGCACTGTCAGTTGGCATCATCTCACAGCCAAAAGTGCTGAAAGGAATTGAGGGGTCAGTTGGTCACTTCATCCCCTTTTATAACCTCACAGGGGAGGAGCTTGAGGCTATGCAGGAAGCAGCTGCAGCCAACGGACACTGTTGACTAAAGCATTCTGATCTCCAGTGCATGTGGAGCACATATAGACAAGGACTCGAAGAAGAATGGAACACCACAAGGGAAGAATATGTACAACAAGGAGAAAAATAGTACACACTGATTGGAACAGTAGTCAGGCAGGTGTTACAGTTAGCAAAAGGAGTATACCTAATTCAGCTAGAAAGCTGGGTGAGGTTTGAGGGAAACAACTGAAATGCCTGAACATGATTGCAAGTCGTCAGGACAATAAAACAGTGGAACTGGAACTACTGGTGCAGGAGGCCAAATCAGATATTATAGGGATAAGAGATCATGGTGGAATAGTGCTCATGACTGGAATACAGGCATTGAAGGGTATGTGCTGTTTAGGAAAGATAGCAATAAAGGTAAAGGTGGAGGGATAGAGTTCTATATCAATGATGCAGTAAACTGTTAAATACAGTGTGATAGTATATATAAAACTGAATCTGTTTGGGTCAAAATCATTTTGGGGAAGGATTATAAAAGAGGTTCTATTAGGATATGGTTGGGGTATGCAACAGATCTCCAGGGCTGGACTCAGATATGGATACAGATCTCTAATATTATTAGAGAGATAAATACTTTGGGGAATTGTGTCATAATGGAGACTAACTTGCTGGATAGAGATTGAAAAATAAATGTTGCTAATGCTGATATGGCCCAGGTATTCTTGGATGCGATAGATGACAGTTTTCATTTTCAACTTGTCACTGAATTAACAAGAGGTGATGCAATTTTATACTTGGTTTTGATAAGTAGTGAGGACATCATAAAAGAGCTGGTCGTAGGAAATAACCTTGGATCGAGTGATTCAGTTTCAACTAAATGGAAGGATAATCAAAACCAGGCATCAATTATGGTTTTTCATTTCAAAAGGGAAAACTTTGGAAAATTAAGGGAATTAATTAAAGAAATGAACTGGGCTAAAGAGCTCAAAGACGTAAGAGTTGGAGGCGGCTTGCAATTTCTTCAGATCAACTATTCAAAAAACTGTCTGAAATTTGCATTCCAAGCAAGGGAAAAAAATCTTGTAGGGAAAGACTCCAGACCCAGCTGGATGAATAACCACCTCAAAAAAGTTATTAATAGTAAGCAGAGAACCTTTTGGGAATGAAAGTGACACCTTGGAGGTTAGGAAATGTAAGAATAAAATGAACTGCTAAAAGTCTATATGAATTAGCTCTTGTCAAGGAGATTAAAATAAATAAGAATTTTTTTTGAGAGAAGGTAGGTGAGATAATATCTTTCATTGGACCAACTTCTATTGGTGAGAGAGACATACAAAGAGCTCTTCTTCAGGTAAGCTCAAAAGCTTGTCTCTCACACCAACAGAAGTTGGTCCAATAAAAGAAATTACCTCACCCACTTTGTGTCTCTAATATCCTAGGACCAGCATGGCTACAACAACACTACATATGACTTTTTTAGTTCTAGAAATAAAAAGAGAATAAGGAAGGATGAGGTCAGGCTGCTATGTAGCATAGATGGGAAGGAGATTAAAGATATATGTATAGCCCAAAAACTGAATGAACACTTTGCCAAATGTGGGGTCAGAAAGGAATTTCCCCTCAGGTCAGACTGGCAATAACTTTGGGGATTTTTTGCCTTCCTCTGCAGCGTGGAGTGTGGCTCACTTGCCAGGATTCTCTCTCATCATTTCCCTACCATGCCTTAGGCATTGGTGCACCCTGAGCCTTCCTATTTCCCTCCTTGTGGCATCTAATTAGTCTAGTCTCTTGTGGACTGTAATACTTTGGTCTAATTTTGGTTGTTGGGTTTAGCGTGTGGGTACTGGTGGCCTGTGACACACAGGAGATCAGACTAGGTGATCTAGTGGTCCCTTGTGGCCTTTAACTCTATGAACTGCCCCTTAATTTATTTTCTTTCATAGTGCTTCAGATACAGCAGATGTCAGTGCTGGGCAACTTGTATGTCTGCTAGCAAGCATCTTCACTCTAAAGACAAAATGGAGGTGGTGATACTGGTGCTAATATATTCTTCTCTTACTCCAAATGGGGCAAGCAGACAAGGTCTGCACCACTCAGTGAGTAGCCAACTCCCAAACTCAGAAAAGAACCTGTCCTGCTTCTAGAGTGAATGACATCACATGAATCTTTTTCACACAGATAAACCCAATTTAAGAGATTTCTGATCCAACTTCCAGTGGCCTAAGAGTAACTCTGAGGCGCACATTACTTTTCCTCTGCCAGTGTACAACTTGACTAGATTCACTGAACATAAATTAGTTAAAGTAAAGAAAAAGCTAGTTTTGGTGAGACAGCAGATACACCAGATTCAACCACAGACTCAAAAAGTAGGACACAGCAGCTACCCATTTTTAAAGATATGATCTCGGCATTGTAGGGTGCCTGCAAAGAAGCACACTGCTCTGAGCTAAGACAAGAACTTTTACAGCAGTTAGGTGTAACCCAGGAAGTCCCTCAATGCGAACTGGCAGAGGGCATACCATACCATAACTCACATCAGGCCTGACATTCATTGCCTCAACACAGTGTTGTCGTAATCTGTAAACACAAGGCATCATGTAAGGTATGCAAACCAGTAAGATGCTGGTCTTTAATATTATCACGTGATGTATGTAACAGGTGGTGTATAAAGAATGATACATGTGTGCTGGAAAAAGGTGTTTTGCAAGGAGTGCATAAATCCAGCCTGTCCTAGACAAAGGAATGTCATCTCACTGGCTTTCCTGCATCTCCAGGGTAAATTGAGCCAGGTAACATCTCAGAGGAAAAGTACATCTACATATAAAGTTAACAAAGCCATCAAGCTAAATGAGCGAAGGGGAAGACCGCTTAGCTATCATGATGGAGCCCACACTCCATGAAGCCTTCGTAGCTCTTGAAATAGACAACAGATTTTGGGAAATACAAGCGGAAGCATAAAGCCATTTTGGCATCCATCACTGGGCAGACAAAAGAGGATAGAGCTCTAGTAATCTGAAAAAGGTGGATCCTTTAGCTAAGTGAGTTGAAGTCTCTGGAAACTTGCTGAAGTTAAGTTTTAGTCACTAGAAAGCATGTTTTGTTTTGTTTTACTTGTAACCACATCTGTGTCTTCTATTCTTATCACTTAAATATGTGCTCTTTGTTATAAAACTTGCTCTTGTTTTACTACAAAACCATCTCAGTGCTGTCTACTAAACTAAAGGGTGAAGTCCTCAGCTAAACTAACAGGCTGGTGTGTGTTCTGTCTCTTTGGAGGCAGCACATACAACTTCTAGGTATCCGAGAGAGCAACTGGACACCGTTTTGAGGAGACTCAGAATTGAAAGAGCTGTTGGTGTCACCCTGCACGGAGTAACCAGGTGGGTGGAAACCAAGGTGAGATCATTGTGCAGTGAACAGGCTGCTGGTAGGTGGGCTCTGAGCCAAAGCTGCACAGCACAGAAGCAGGCGGTGCCAGAACCCCTTGCTAGTTTGGGTGGACCCTCATAGCAGCACAAGAGCAGCAATCGGGGCCAGCAAGTTTCATAAAAGAACTTCAGCCTCGTTTCTGATTCTGATATTCAGCATGGTTGTAACATACGAGATGTATTAGGACTCTGTCCTTCCACATACTCGCCAACAATCAACTGAACGGGAGCTCAAGATCACAGGTTAATTGCTGCCCTGAGCACAGGCAACCTCAGTGACCCCAGCTCCAGATCAGTCAAGAGAAACTGAACAATCAGAGTCCACTTGAACTGAAGAAGATTCAGGCTATTGCAGCTGCAATGGACGCCAAATGCGGCCAGCTTTAATCTGAATTAACGAAAGGCCAGGCAGCCTCTGCCAACAAGAGGACTTCGACAAGAAGAGAGGATGGATTGTGGTTCACAGTGTTTCATAGGCCAGCCTTATTCTATTCTGGTTCTTACACCACGGCCATCACAATGGTATGTCTAAAGTCACAGTTACTCTACCAAAACGTACCAGGCAGCACACAAGCTGTGTGCTTTTCAAGAAGTCCAACGTGCTAATGTATCACAGTTGGAGCCTGTCTACACTACAACTCAGTGAGGGAGGGCAAGCTTTCAGAGCTTTTGCATATAAAATAGGTATACTCTTCAGAAAAGAGACAGACTGGTCTTAGCAATAACCTCCCTTCCTTGGCTCTTACCCATCTCTAGGAGCTGCCATAGAAGAGAGGGGATGGGGTATGTTGCCAGAGGAGTTCGGAGGCAACCATGTAGCAGTTGGAGGGGTGGCTGCACTTTCGATGCTGGAACTCACAAGAGATCGAGCAGAACTCTGAGTCTAGGATAGAAGCAGAATTATTTTCATTGCACATATTCACTGGACACACAGATTTTAGTCCTGCTTCATTTGGGTTTATACTGTGTATACAAGCCAAGAGACCTGCGAATAGTGCATTATGAGCATCATTCAAGATAAATGTACATTAATGCAAAAGCTATGGCAATGAAACATCAAGGCAACGAATTCAAGCCCCAGAGGGCGATGAATTGCCAGTGTTAAAGGTTCTCACATCCACAGTAACTCACCCACATTGCACATACTGTACATTTTAAGCTGAAGTCACCTATGGCACTCGCCCTCCCAAGGCCATGCACTATAGTAACCCTCCTCGCTGGGGAGGGCTGTATATGGTTTCAGAACTGAACAGGCAAGTGGCCGGGAGATGCAAGGCTTGCACTTCTGCAGGACCCGAGGGGGTAGCCTTGGGGAGCAGAGACTCAAACTGATATGACTGGTGCTCCAGCCACACAGTCTGTCTTTGCTTCCCCAGCAAAACAGCAGCAATGTAGGAAGCAGATGTGCTACTTCACAGCAGGCTTCTTCCTTGTTTTGGCTATTTAGACTAAGTTCTTTAGGGTAGCAACTGTCTGTCTCTTGCTGTGTGTCTGTGCAGCACCCAGCAAAACGTGGCCCTCTGAGTGTCACTGTAACAAATAATAAACAGCATGCATAAGCCACAGAACAATTCCTGTACACTCAGCACGTAGTGCTTCAAACCTTCCACAACACTTTACCAACCATCAGAGATCTGACAGGTCACACACTGCCTGGCTAAAGAGGTTACTGTTAGCGTTTAGAGACTTCAATCCTAAAGTCACTTACACAAGCTATTTTCAGCAAATGCCAGATCTCCCTCTGCCTTTTTCCCTGCATCTGCATCACAGAGCTGTCAGCCTCCTTGATGTTATTCAGAGCCACTTCAATCTTTGGAAGCAAATCAATAATCTTCTGCTTACAGCCTAACAGCTTGCTGTAACAAAGGAGAAATCACAATCACTTTGCCATTCAGTGGGGCACAGGCTTTGGAAGAATCAATGTAGCTACACTGATTTTACATCTTGCTATTTAAGGAAAAACTGGATAAACATGTACTTGACCCTCAGCATTTACACTGATAGATGCACAACTGAAAGATTCTTTAGGACCACGGTGGCTCCTGGAAGTCTTCGGGTCTAATGATCAAGGTACACAGCACAAAAAGTTCAATGAAAGAAGGCTTCAGGACTTAGAATTTGCTGTATTTTAGTCTTTCTTCACAAAGAAACCTCTTGCCATGGACCCCTCCACCTCAGCAACAGTCACATATGTACTGTTTCTTGAGAGAAGGTTCCCAGAGGAGATGTGAAATGCTTTTAGGAAAAGCGTTAAGGGGTTGTGTTACAGTATGAGTCAAATGAATGTGAGGAGTATAGAGTGTCTGCATGTCCTTGAAGGGGAAAGCAATTCTTGGTGGGGAGCTGCAGTGCCCCACTGACAACAGATAATTTGAGGGGGATGTATAGCAAGTTCTGAGACAGATCTTCCCCTTTACTAGCTTTGAAGGTTTAGGGACAGTGATGGGAATGTGCCCTTCAGCAATCTGAACGGTCTTTGAATGAAGATTTTGCTCTTGGAATATGAATGCAAGGGCTCTCTCTGCTCCCCAACAGAATTAGTATGTTAAAAGGTCTCCAGCTCAGAATGATGGAAGTTGCATCTTGTCTCTGTTTTCCTCCAGAAAGGAAAGCTCTTCTGGTACCTAAGGTGTCCAAAGAGCTCCTTGAGAACTCGATCCTGGCTCTGCACTGTCTGCACGATAATCTTCACCATGTCAGTGCTGTCACTGTAGGCGTGATCTGGAAGGGATACCAATCGTCTGGTTAGCAGAGTGCTTCTCAGCAAACAGTTCAGACACAAACCCACAGGTCAAAGAAGGATTTTACCCAACAAGCTCTGCCAAAGAAATAGAGACCTACATAAGAATATAAGAGTGGCCATACGGGGTCAGACCAAAGATCCATATAGCCCAGTATCCTGTCTTCCCACAGTGGCCAATACCAGGTGCACCAGAGGGAATTAACAGGTAATCATCAAGTGATTCATCCCCTGTCACCCATTCCCAGCTTCTGAGGCTAGGGACACTATCCCTGCCCTTCCTGTCTAATAGCCATTGATGGACCTATCCTCCATGAACTTATCTAGTTCTTTTTTGAACCCTGTTATAGTCTTGGCCTTCACAACATCCTCTGGCAAGGAATTCCACAGCTTGACTGTGCGTTGTGTGAAAAAATACTTCCTTTTCTTTGTTTGAAACCTGCTGCCTATTAATTTCATTTGGTGACCCTTAGTTCTTGTGTTATGAGAAGGAGTAAATAACCCTTCCTTATTTACTTTCTCCACACCAGTCATGATTTTATAGACCTCAATTGTATCCCTCCTTAGTAGTCTCTTTTCCAAACTGAGAAGTCCCAGCCTTATTAATCTCTCCTCATATGGAAGCCGTTCCATACCCCTAATCTTTTTTGTTGTCCTTTTGTGAACCTTTTCCAATGCCAATATATCTTTTTTGAGATGGGGCGACCACATCTTCACACAGTATTCAAGATGTGGGCGTACCGTGGATTTATATAGAGGCAATATGATATTTTCTGTCTTATGATCTATCCCTTTCTTAATGATTCCCAACATAGTTTGCTTTTTTGACTGCTGCTGCACATTGAGTGGATGTTTTCAGAGAACTATCCACAATGACTCCAAGATGTCTCTGTTGAGTGGCAACAGCTAATTTAGACCCCATCATTGTATACGTATAGTTGGGATTATGTTTTCCAACGGGCATTACTTTGCATTTATAAACACTAAATTTCATCTGCTATTTTGTTGCCCAGCCACCCAGTTCTGAGAGATCCTTTGATAGCTCTTCACAGTCTGCTTGGGATTCAATGATCTTAAGTAGTTTTATATCTGCACATTTTGCCACCTCACTGTTTATCCTTTTTTCCAGATCATTTATGACCCAATTAAAAAAGAAGGGGGTTAAGTCTACTAAATCAAAAAGCCTTCTCCAGTGCACGCAGTTATACTACACATCAATCATCTGAACCAGTCAGAGCACAGGGGAGCTGACACTAATCACCCACCTCTCCACACTCACTATACAATTCCAGGCACTCTGCCCAAGCACTACTTTCCATAATGACTACAGCTATTTACCCATCACATAGCTATGCAAAAATCCCTCCTCTGACTGCCCTTAGAATACCCTCGCCACAATATTCAGGGCCGTCTCAATTTCTGCCACCCTCCCCACCATCACGCCAGCCAGTATAATTTAAAAAGTGGGGAAGGAGGAGCAGAGGGAAAGATTAAGAATGTTAGATGCAATGGCAAGGAAGGGAAGATGCCAGAAAGCGATCATGTTTATTGTGGGCATGAGGATGAGGAACTGCAAGGACATTGGGCATAGAAGAAAAGTCACAAGAGTGCATGAATCAAAAGGTAGAAGGAGCATTTCTGAGTTTGGGCAAAAATCACATTGGGGAAGAAAGCTACTAGAGCCTTCCCTGGGATAGTGCTTGGGGTGTGCTATAGACTGCCGGGATCCGATCTGGATATGGATAGAGACCTTTTCAAACAAATATTTTGCCTCAGTCTTTAATGAGGCTAATGAGGACCTTAGGGATAACGGTAGGACGACAAATGGGAATGAGGATATGGAGGTAGATATTACCACATCCAAAGCAGAAGGCAAACTTGAACATCTTAATGAGACTAAATCGGGGAGCCCAGATAATCTTCATCCAAGAATATTAAAGGAACTGGCAAGCCCATTAGCAAAAATATTTAATGAATCTGTAAACTCAGGGGTTGTATGGTATGACTGGAGAATTGCTAACATAGTTCCTATTTTTAAGAAAGGAAAAAAAGTGATCCGGGTAACTACAGGCTTGTTAATTTGACATCTGTAGTATGCAAGGTCTTGGAAAAAATTTTGAAGGTGAAAGGTCATATTTAGGGATTAATAACGAGAATTTTTGTTATAAACTGGGGATGCATCACTTGGAAGTAACAGAGAAGGACCTCAGCGTATTGGTTGATCATAGGATGACTATGAGCCGCCAATGTGATATGGCCGTAAAAAGGCTAATGCGGTCTTGGGATGCATCAGCCGAGGTATTTCCAGTAGAGATAAGGAGGTGTTAGTACCGTTATACAAGGCACTGGTGAAACCTCATCTGGAATATTGCGTGCAGTTCTGGTCTCCCACGTTTAAGAAAGATGAATTCAAACTGGAACAGGTACAGAGAAGGGCTACCAGGATGATCCGAGGAAAGGAAAACCCGTCTTATCATAGAATCATAGAATATCAGGGTTGGAAGGGACCCCAGAAGGTCATCTAGTCCAACCCCCTGCTCAAAGCAGGACCAATTCCCAGTTAAATCATCCCAGCCAGGGCTTTGTCAAGCCTGACCTTAAAAACCTCTAAGGAAGGAGATTCTACCACCTCCCTAGGTAACGCATTCCAGTGTTTCACCACCCTCTTAGTGAAAAAGTTTTTCCTAATATCCAATCTAAACCTCCCCCACTGCAACTTGAGACCATTACTCCTCGTTCTGTCATCTGCTACAATTGAGAACAGTCTAGAGCCATCCTCTTTGGAACCCCCTTTCAGGTAGTTGAAAGCAGCTATCAAATCCCCCCTCATTCTTCTCTTCTGCAGGCTAAACAATCCCAGCTCCCTCAGCCTCTCCTCATAACTCATGTGTTCCAGTCCCCTAATCATTTTTGTTGCCCTTCGCTGGACTCTCTCCAATTTATCCACATCCTTCTTGAAGTGTGGGGCCCAAAACTGGACACAGTACTCCAGATGAGGCCTCACCAATGTCGAATAGAGGGGAACGATCACGTCCCTCGATCTGCTCGCTATGCCCCTACTTATACATCCCAAAATGCCATTGGCCTTCTTGGCAACAAGGGCACACTGCTGACTCATATCCAGCTTCTCGTCCACTGTCACCCCTAGGTCCTTTTCCGCAGAACTGCTGCCTAGCCATTCGGTCCCTAGTCTGTAGCTGTGCATTGGGTTCTTCCGTCCTAAGTGCAGGACCCTGCACTTATCCTTATTGAACCTCATCAGATTATGAAAGGAGACTCAAAGAGCTTGGCTTGTTTAGCCTAACCAAAAGAAGGCTGAGGGGAGATATGATTGCTCTCTATAAATATATCAGAGGGATAAATACCAGGGAGGGAGAGGAATTATTTAAGCTCAGTACCAATGCGAACACAAGAACAAATGGATATAAACTGGCCAACAGGAAGTTTAGACTTGAAATTAAATGAAGGTTTCTGACCATCAGAGGAGTGAAGTTCTGGAACAGCCTTCCAAGGAAAGCAGTGGGGGCAAAAGACATATCTGGCTTCAAGACTAAGCTTGATAAGTTTATGGAGGGGATGGGATAGCCTAACTTTGGCAACTGATCTTCAACTATTGGCGGTAGATATGCCCGATGGGATGTTAGATGGGGTGGGATCTGAGTTACTACAGAGAATTCTTTCCTGGGTGTCTGGCTGGTGAGTCTTGCCCACATGCTCAGGGTTTAGCTGATCGCCATATTTGGGGTCGGGAAGGAATTTTCCTCTAGGGCAGATTGGCAGAGGCCCTGGGGGCTTTTCACCTTCCTCTGCAGCGTGGGGGCATGGGTCACTTGCTGGAGGACATAGGTTAGAGGTTTGTTACAGGAGTGGGTGGGTGAGATTCTGTGGCTTGTGTTGTGCAGGAGGTCAGACTAGATGATCATAATGGTCCCTTATGACCTTAAAGTCTATGATTCTATGATTTCAGTGTAGCACTAACTTGAGACTCATCAACGCAGTAAAAATGGAAACCTGGGACTAACTTGACTTGGACTTCAGTTTTCAGAGTTTGTTTAGCCCAGGATACAATTATTAAGTAAGCAGGAAACACCCGATAAATGTTTGAAAACCCCCAAAATAATAACTGTAACAAACTAATAAATGAAGAGAATGTCACATGTGAGTATGTAAATGTGCACAAGTTGGGACATTCAGAGAGAAGGGTGCTACAATCTCCACAGCACTCCCACTCCAGGCCTCCACCAAAGCACTCGCTAAAAGTCCATCTAATTTTTGAGCTAGAGGTGTAACTTCCAACTCAAAGAGGCATAACCGCGCTAGAGAGCTAAAAATAGAAGTATAGCTGTAAGTGGTGGTGTGGCAGCTAGCCATCTGAGTATGTGCCTGTCTAAGCCCATAAGTATATACACAGGTGCCTGGCCCCTCCCATCACTTGTGGTGCCATGGATAGACTTATTTTTTGCATGCTAGCTTGATCAGCTACACTTGACTAGGTCATGGGAGTGAAATCAGACACAGGACTGGTTACCACAGATAGATTAATGGATTTAAGGCCTATGAGCTATTTTTCCAGACCTTTGAGAAAAAGCCAAAAAATCATTTAACCAGAACAATGCTAAGAAGGACTTGACTGTTTATCCATCTGTTCCACCTCCTTCTACTAGGAGTGTGAGCTTCTCAGGGGGCAAAAGCTGCCTTTGTTTTTTCTATATGTCCAGTGACCAGCACAATGGGGCCCTCATTCCTGACGGGGAACTCTAGTACTACTGCAGTAGGACCACCTCCGCCATATAGGAAACAGTTACAAAGGCTGAGCTCTTGGTGAGGTTTTAGGACAGCAGTGTCCGTCATAGTGATCTTGCTCAACAATTCCATACGCATGGGTTAAAAAGGCCACTGGGAAACTCTGGGAGGACGGCTGATCAGCTTCCATGAACTGAAGCATAACATTTAGGTTTCAGAGTAACAGCCGTGTTAGTCTGTATTCCCAAAAAGAAAAGGAGTACTTGTGGCACCTTAGAGACTAACCAATTTATTTGAGCATGAGCTTTTGTGAGCTACAGCTCATGCTCAAATAAATTGGTTAGTCTCTAAGGTGCCACAAGTACTCCTTTTCTTCTTATAACATTTAGGGTAACTGGAGGGACAGGGTGTGGCACAACTGCATTTTGGTCGTTTTGTTTGTTCCATGTCTGACTTTTGCTTTCTGCATCAACTCCTGGTTCTATAAAGCCTTGAGCCCTGTCAACCTCAGACCATGATGTTTCTCAGGGTTACCTAACCAGACCGAGGTGTGGCTTTTACCTGCTCCCCTGACATTGTCCTCCTGGCTCTTGGCACAGGAACAGGGAGAAACACCATCCACCAGCTCCAGCCCAACCTTCTAACCAGGGCCAGGACTCCCCTACCCAGTGGAAGAGGTGTGACTCCAGCTTGAGGCTCACAGTAACTACCACCCCCATCACCAGTTCAGAAAAAAAGTGTTCCTCTCTCTGTCTTTAACACTCAGGGCCATTCCTCGTAGATAGTTATCAAAGCCATGTTAAGTAGACTAGAATATCCTTTTTGCCTGTATGGTTAGAGAATCAAAGAGTAAGTGCTAAATGTATCTGTTTGTCTGCATCCCAGTAGAAATCTAACAATGTGATCCGATTACCTTGTAGTTGCTAAATCCTGTTCCTATCTTCTAATGCTTCATTACTATATTCTATTGACTCAGAGATCAAAGGGGGATATTATCATTTAGATGGGACTGGTGGTGTAATAATATTATTGTCCTCATCTCTTCTCAAAGCTTGTAATTCCAAATAGTAACTACCTGTGAACTGTCTTGAGAGTTTGAATGGCTGTTGCTAGAAGTATTGTCTGTGAAAGGACCCATTGAATAGAGATCACAAACTGTCAGCTCACTTTCATCAAAGCCCACATGGTAGAGTTACCTGTCAGTGCCCTACCTACTTCAACTATAAAGGAAGCTTTGGGCCTGATCCTTTGCATCTCAGGTCTGCTTAAACTTTAACAGGGAAGGTCTAAGCCATAAGACTGAGGTTTCCGGGTTTACCCTGAATTTCTCATGGAAGAACGTGAACAGACTCTATAACTGGACTGTCTATTGGACTGTAACCTTTTTATATGGATTCCAGAAAGACTTTTACAAATCAGCAGCCTTACCATCTCAGCTACGAAGCTGACCTAAGAACTTTACACACATTTGTATGTATATTGAGCTCTTAGAAATACATATTTCTTTTTATATATTATATATATTTTATATATATTAATAAATCTTAGACTTAGTTAATAAGGATTGGTTGTAAGCATGCATTTGGGTAAGATCTAAAATATTAGTTGACCTGGTGGGCAATGTATCTGATCCTTTGGGAGTGGTAGAACTTTAAATACGGTTAGGGACCTATCAAATTCACAGCCATGAAAAACGGTATTGTCACCTTTACTTCTGCGCTGCCTTCCCAGCTGAATGGCTGGAGAGCAGCAGCTGCTGTCCAGCTGCCTAACTCTGAAGCAGTACTGTCACAGCAGCAGCACAAAAGTAAGGGTGGCAATACTTCAGAAGCTATTTTGTTACTGGCTTGGTGAATCTAATTTTAGAATAAACCACCAGTTTGGCAGATTGTTTCACTCAGGGCAGACTGTAAGTAATAGGGTAGACATTCTCAGTGTGGCCCATCAAGGCACTACGATCACATTAGAGCATCTGTTCTTCCTCTCTCCCCTCTCATCTGGGTGTCTGCTTGGGTTTGGCCAGTGACAGTGACCTGACAAACTGAAAGCACTGTAAGTAGCATAGAAGGTTTTGACGGTACCATCCCACACTAAAATAAGATCTGAGCAACAAGGCTGGGTTGGTGATCTGCATGATTTTCTTTAAACCTTAGTAACTGACTAAGAAGGGTTAACAGCATGCACAGCCCTGGAGCAATTAAGCCTTAGACAACAAGACCAGAACCCTATCACCTTTTACCTTATAGCTGACGCTATGTAACACCGGACTGATATATACATCATGACACCTACCTCCTCTACCCCAGACCCACCTGGTCAGGTCCAGGCCAAAGTTAAGGGGTGTGGCAGTTCTGACACTATATAAAAGAACGTGTAATGAAAAGGATCACTAAACAAGTTACATTTTATGGGCCATGTAATTTTTTGGTAGTGAAATTGATATATGATGTTATTTACACAACTCACAAATGTTGCCGACATTTCCTCCACTCACCACCTATGTCTTTGGACAGGCACACCATCAAACCACTCCCCTCAGCTCCCACCAAGACTTTGCGGTCTTCCCCACCCCATCACTCTAAGTGTATCTCCACCCCTCCTTGTCCAGCATTCCCTCTGCCCTGCTGCAAATGGAAATGTAAAAAGTCTGATATTTACTGTTGAAAGCAAAGATTACTTGCAAGGTTTGAGTTTTATGTAGGTCATAGAATAAGCCTGTTCCGTACCTGGAGGTCTTGGTTTTAATTGCTTGTATAGTTCTATGGCTTTTTGTTCACTGCAAAAAGAAGAAATCACTTCATACATGTATTCAAACACACAGAGGAACTGATCATCTGTAATATTCAAGAGTAACAAGATTTCATATTCAGGTCTTTATTAAGATAGAGCCAATTTTTAAATCTTACTAATAGATATCCTGCCCCTCCAACATTAGGAATCCATGTCAATTCATTCCATGATAGAAGTCCACATTTCCTAAAAAGATGCCCCTTTTCTTCACAATTCTGTATTTACCTTGCTGATATTCAGTCTAAATGGCATTAATTCTATGCTTTCTTCAATTACTTTGAACATATTTATTATTTCCATAAAATCTACCAGGATTTTGTTCCCATATAACATTTAAACATTGAAGGTTTGATTTTAGTAACTTTGTTTGCTTTTCTTCTGTATAACTGCCTGACAAATTCCCCATTTGCACTCATGTTTCCTTGATTGCTCTCAGTTCCATTGTGGACATTTAGGAAGAGTACGAGGAAGAGATCACCAAAAAGGTACATTTCTTTCTCCCTTTAAAGTAAGTTTTGATACTCTGCCTACCTTAAATAACTCAAAAGCAGCTACATGTGGAAGCTTCCAATGTCATGTCAAATCCTCCCTTTCCTATTTCAAAAAGTTCAGCATAATCTTTCACAGCAGATTAGTTTCTCCCATCATGCAGACCATTCATAAACCTGGAATCTCCCATTCCTTGGCCAGCCCACCCACCCACCTTTACTCACCCCCAGAGGAGTTTCAAGGGAATCACATATTCCAGTCAAATGTCCTGTGTTTTGTCCCAGTAATAATATATGTATAGAGCACCCTCCTCCACAAAAATGCTGGGGTTGCTGAACAACCACAACAGCATTTTCTTGTTAACTATCAGAAAATACCCCAACCTCAACAAAATTACCGTCAGGGTGGGTAAACAAAAACAGTTAAGAAAAAAAACAGAACAGCAGCAACAGCAGGAGTAATTTAAAAACACCTCTGAAAAAACCAAGTTTTTGGTGTTTTTTGAGTGGGGAGATGAAGTAGCCAGATTTCAGGAAGGAGGGAGTTCCACACTGCAGGGACGGCCACAGCCAAGGCTCGACCGCAGGCCTGCTTCAGGCATGATGGTAGAACCCCGAAGCACCAGGTGGTGTGGGAGAGCAAAATTCCATTAGATAGAGACTCAAGAAGGGAGTCTTAAATATAACCAGAGCCAGTCCCATTCAGAGCTTTATAAACCAGTAAGGATAACTGACTGAATCTGCCACTTAAATAGGCAACTAATGTAAAGAACACAATGCAGACTGAATATGCTCAACAACTCAAATTCGCAAGCTGTCATGCGGTTTAATCTGAACGAGCTGCAAGCGGTGCATCAGTCTTGCTGATAGCCCCACAAGAGGGAATTACAACAGCTGATGTCTCAAGATCACAAGAGCTTACACAGCCACCGCCAGTTCGTCACGAGTTAAATAAGCACTGGAAATAGCTAAGAGATGGCCTTCTTCTTGGCACCCCCAAACTAGACAGCAGACCACTACACTGCACCCGTAATGTAGGGGGAAGAGAGCTTATTGGCATTCAACTCCCTCAATTAAGTTTTAGATGCTGTGCAAACAAGTGTGAAGATCCAGCAGTCTTTCTTGTGCCCTAATCCCAGCCCGGTGCTTGTTGGTATGCACTGGTGCTTGAAAAATCAATACACAGAGGAGAGAAAATCTGAGAAAAGGATGGAGAGAAAATCCCCACCCCATCATACCCCAGTCTGCTTCTCAACCCTGCCAGCCCCCAACTGCCAAGAGGCCAGGCACCCAGCCTGCTCTTCACCCCCCGCAACAGTGACTTGCCCAAAGTCATACAGGGAAACTGACACAGCTGGGGAAAAAACGAGATCTCCTGTGCCTCTGTCCAGTGCCTTAGCCACAAGATCATCCTTTCTTCTCCCTTCCTGGCTCTAAACATTCACTTACTCAGGAAGGGAAGGGACATTTCTTCTCTGCTCTCGGCCTGTCTGTGGTTTACGTGATAATTGGTTACATACTCAGCAGCACATTTTTTCCCTTATCCGTTTCAAGTAGGCTTCCTCCACCCACTCTGAACCCCAATGCCGAACCAGCAATTTCATGACACAAATTACTCATCAACACATCAGACAGTAGTCTGCAGCCTTGATCAGACCTGTGGCACTGCTGGAGACTGCACACCAAGCCAGCTGGATCCACTACCATTATCAGAGAGTAACCAGCACCCCTCCTCCTGCCCCCGTTGGCTGCTTTCACTCCAAAGTAAATATACTGAAATGTGTGCACTTACTCTGAATTGACAGCAGCGTAACTCAGAGCAGATACGGCCCCAGAACGCCCAGGATGGACAGTGTGTAGGGAATCATTCAGGGATGTACAGTGAATAAAGCAGAGATCAGGAAGACACCTACCTCAGTTAGTACACATTCACTGAGCACTGTATAGAAAAGAGTTTCTTTGGAAATAACAGATCCAATAACTACAGGCTATATGGTTATACGTATGCACAAAGGGACAAAGTTAAGACTGCATGTGCAAACTTTACTTTGGCACTTCCTAACTTGAGTGCTTCACTTTGCAACCCTTATGTTCTTTTAAAGTAGGATTTAAATGGAATATACTAACGATTTTCAAGTTCAAGGTTGTTTTTGTTTTTTTTAAACAAATGTTGTTATTGCTCCAAAACCACATCTGAAACACTTGATGTTTGAGAAAATATTGTCATTTTCATACAATAATGGCTCAATGAAGTTTACTTCCCTCTTTGGGCTAAAAACAAAGCAAGAAAAACCTTAGCTCTCTCAAGCGTGCAGTTTTCAAATAGCCTGGGTATATAATTCTAGAGTACTGAAGTGTAAACACACCCACTCTTCCCCCTCCCACTCCCCACACACTTACTTTAACCTCTTCAAAATGGAGAATAAAACCAAAAAAGAACAAAAAATATAAAACCTGTTACAATGTAAAATGATTTCAACAAGTATGAGAGAATAGCCCTTTTCCTTACAGACTCTCCATGACATCTCCCTGGCGCCTTGCATATGGACTCCTCTGCAGTTCCACAATCTCTGTGTGCAGAGCCATAATCTGTTCATCTAGGTATCCGATATCTCCAGCCTAATGAGAAAAAATAACTCGCCATAGATCTCAAGTTTTGACTGGAAAGTGACAGTCCACGTATTAAACAATTTCAGGAGCAGAAATACATAAAAATCAACAAAGATTCCCCAAATTACTTTGTTCAATAGACAAGTGAATCTGAGTAGAACAAACAATTTACTGAAAGTGAGAGTCTTGCTGTCACTGAGGGACAATAATCATTCACTAGATCAGCTGCTGCTATAGTTCTACTACGGAAATCAGACCAATTTCCACACAATGTACGATACCCTCAACAACCTTGGATAGACAAAGACAATACCAACAAACTGAAAACGTATCTTCTTCTAACAAAGGATTCCTCTGGAGTCAGCATTGTTGCGTTAACCACATCCACAAGACCACAGAATCAGCAGATAGTCTCAATTTTGGTGCCAAAACTGCTCCCATATATAATCTGTGGAACTGTATTACAGTCCAAGTTGAGATGCTTCCAGAACTTGCAAAACTGAAAAAGCTATAAATAGATAAACTATGTACCTGAATAGGAAAATGCCACTGTAGTGATTCCCTCTGTTAAGAGGAGACAAACTTGCGGTAAGTCCATATGGTCTGTTCTCACACGTAGAAGGAATCTACTAGTCTGGAGTCATGTTGACAAGTGAACATATTGTTACTCCAAGTGTGGGGTATGGAAGAGACCAGGATGAGATGAGGAGACACATGTAGGGAGAATGGCAGACTGAATGACTCTGACCAAAGACAGCATTGGAAGAAGGTGTTGTATCTCCTTGCGTCTGATCAACATACGCTTTGATTGCCAGAGATCTGCAATTCTTCTCATAAGAGGTTCCATTTCTTCTACCCAGGTTATGGAATCAAATGAGTTGACCTTGCTCTGAGACTTGTAGATGTTCAGATTTTTTCCCTAAATTCTTTTAAAATAGCTAAACTGAGTCATCAGTAGATGGTAGATTTTGAATCTTTTCGATCTTTGATTTTGCCAGCAAGGATATGAATTAGGTATCTGAATTCCAGATGGACTGTGTCCTAATCAAATGGAATTGGATTGTTCTGCTGACATCCAGGTGACTGCATCTGTTTCCTTGGAAATGCATGAAAGTTAAGCCATAAGAAAGAAAAGTTGTCCCCTCACAGAAATGATACAGAGCAACTATAGTAGTTCAAGAAACCTGGTAGTAGTTTCAAAAAGTACTCTGGGTTGAAAAAACCCTGAGGATAAAATAAAAATGTCACTTATCCTTCTAAGAGAAACAACTGGAGTTTGACAAGACAACCTTAACTTCTTAATTCTTAAGAAAAAGAATCCAGGTGGAAGCAGCACTTGGATCAAAACACTGCTCCATCTTCAGGGTGCTCAAGACAGGAACATGCAATAGAGTGCTGAGACTAAGCCTTATTAGTCAAGCCACCCAATATGGCCCAAAGACAAGTTCTGTTAGATGCTGACGTGGCATTAAAGCTATCCTGAGAGTGCACTGATTAGAAGGCTTCCAGTACTAGCTATAGACAGAGAAGAGAACGTCTACCAATTACTCTGGGAGATGGACCTCGAGGTCCAAGTCATCAAACTAAATCTGCCGGGACCCAGACACTGGACATTACAATGGCATACCTAGGCTGGTGGGGGAAAAACACCAAGGAAACATATGGACATCCTCCTTGATTCAGGAGAACCAGAGGAAACACTAGATGTAGCATTTTCTAATCATCCTGGACACTTGAACAAAGAATGGTCAACAGGGGAAGCTGCAGTAAAGACCATAATTCAGCTAGTGTGCTGGCAGTAGCACCAAGGACACATTTCCTGTGTCATGCAAGCACAACCATCAAGAGGGAATCCCCCGCATCTTATGGACATCCAGAAAAATCAGAGGTAGGACCCTAAACTCCCCTATCCAGAAGAACAGGATTATGGATGTCAGATCCTGAAGCCTTTAAACTGAGCCTTTCCTAACTGGCCCCTGCTAGAAAAAAAGGTTGAGCAATTTGTGGAAAGGGACAGGACTCTATATAACACCCCACTTCCACAGGACACACTTTATTTAAATAAATAAAATGCAGAGTGTTAGGCAACACTAATATAGGAATCACCTCCACCATCTGAATGCACTGTGTAAAAGCTGCTTCAATATATTTATCTGACTGGCCCACAACTACTTCCAGAACACATGAAGTGATGCTTTATTGTTTTGGAGAAAAAAACAGTACAATTCCAAGACAAAATCAACATTGTGCTGGAATAAAGGTTTCACAGATGTTAAGGCTAGAAGGGACCATTATGATCACCCAGTCTGAGCTCCTGCACAACACAGACCTGAAAACAGACCAACGATTCCTGCATTAAACCCACATCTGGTAGTTGAGCTGGAGCTTATCTTTTAAAAAGAGCCATCCAATCTTTATATTCAAAGTGGAGGGACTGGATAATCTCCATCCCAGAATACTGGACCAACTGGCACACATTACAAATTCGGCAGCAAGGATTTTTAATAAATCTAGTAAATGGATAGTAGTACCATATAGACTGGAAACTATCAAAAGCAGTTTAAGGGAAAAAAGGCTCCAGGCAACTACAGACCTGTTAGTCTGATCTCAATAGCATGCAAGACTTTGGAAAAAACTTTAATTAATCTTTTCTTTAAAGACATGGGGGTAAATGGAAAATAGGAAAAAATGCAACATGGGTTTACAAAAGGCAGATCACACCACTAACCACTTTCTTAGGTAAGATAAATGATAGTCTAGACCAGGAAAATACAATCAATCAAATCTACCCGGATTTCAAGTTCCACGTTGGAAATTATTAGATGAATTCGAGAATATAAACTGGCTAAAAGGGAAAGAACAATGGGTTGTGCCTGGAAGAAGGTTATTAGTGGAGCCTTCCAACTATCAGTCTTGGGACAGTTCTTATTTAATATTTTAATTAGTGATCTCGGGACAAAAAGTAGCAATGTACTAATGAAATTCACTGACAACACAAAATTGGGAGGCATCAACACAGAGGAGGAAAAATATTATCCAGTAAGAACTGAATAACCTAGAGGATTGGAGGAATAAAATGGGATGACATGTAATAGTACAGCGTGCAAGGTCATGTACTTAGGGGCTAAAAACGAGAATTTCTGCTATAAACTGGGAGCTCATAGTTGGAAATGACAGAGGAGGAGAAAGTCCTGGGTGTATTGATCACAGGATGACTATAAGCCACAAATGTACCAAGGCCATGAAAAGGATAAAGGCGATCCTCGGATGTATAAGGTGATGTATTTCCAGCAGAGATAGGGAAGTATTAATACCATTATACAAGGAATCCGTAATACTGTATACAATTCTGGTCACCCATGTTCAAGAAAAATTAATTAAAACTGCAAGAGGTGCAGAGTAAGGCTGCAAGGATGATCAGGGGAATGGAGAGGCTCTCTTATGAGAAGAGACAAAGAGCTTGGCTTTCTTAGCCTAGCAAAATGAAGGCTGGGAAGGGATCTGATTGCACTCTATAAACACATGAGGGAAGTAAACACCAGGGAGGGAGAAGAGCTATTTAAGCTAAAGGACAATGTTAGCACAAGAGCAAGGGCAATAAACTGTCCATAAGTAAATTTAGGTTCGGCTGGTGAAATGTTCTAGGCTGACCTGAATGGACCGTGCTTTAACCTTTATTTCTCTTTGCTAATCTAAGGACTTCCAGCGCTGTGTTCCAATTGACTAATAAATCCTACATTGTTGTATGCCGTGTATTTGTAGCCATGTTAGTCCCAGGATATTAGAGACAGAAGGTAGGTAAGGTAATATCTTTTACTGGACTGGGAAAAAAAATATTACCTCACTCGTGTCTCTAATAAATCCTACTTTGTTTTGAAAACACTGTTTAGGATGTCATTGGAAATACTGGCTAGGGTGCATTAGTCCCTGAAGAGCATACAAGTCTCTACCAGGAGTCTTTCTCAGTTGGACTTGCTGAGCAGAATTCATGCTGTGAAGCAGGAATGCTGGAGCCTCCAATCAAGGATGCACTGAGTCTGCATTGTCTTCCTTGAAGGAAGAATGAGACCCCTTGAGGGTCTGGCATACTATGGGGATTCCTCCAAAAGACTGTTCAAAAGCTAAGGATGTAGCACCAAACCTGTGGATCCGTGACACTTATCAAGGTTTGTGGTGGATTTGCATCTCCAGAAATTTTAAAATCAAGATTAGATGTTTTTCTAAAAGAGATGGTCTAATTCAAGCAGGAGTTAATTCAGGGAAGTCCTGTGGCCTGTGTTACACAGGAGAGCAGACTAGATGATCACAGTGGTCCCTTCTGGCCTTGGAAGCTATGAACAGTATCATAAGAGATGCTTCCATAATGAAAAGTGAGCCTTATAAAGAGATCATCAAAGTGGAGGGTTTAGGTATTTCAATTACTCTGATGTCAAGACAAGTTTAAAATGAAGTGGTAAGATGTTAAGTGACTGGTTCCCTGTCAATCTTGTGGAAGTGGGAATGACTACAAAATCTCAGTTACTCCCAAATCACCTCCCAAATCCCAAATGAGTAATAGTTTTCTATGATCTTGTGTTTCTAATATGGACTCTAAGGAGACAATGGAAAGAGTACAATGGAGAAATAAACTGTTATATTTGAACAACATGGTGACAGTTGAATTGTTTCTTGAGGAAGATCTCTGGCTGAAATAGTAATTTTGTTATTGCTATTTCACTCAGTACATGAGGCATCTTGAACAGGTGCTTCAGCTACGGCACACATCATAGCTTAAGTTTAATAAGTCATGATTTAACATTGATGTAAGTGAATGTATTTCATCAGTCAGACTCAATGATTCAGTTCCTTTAAACATGCTATAATTGCCTGAGAGAGTCCCTTGAGTTTTCTACACCATACACATCTTCTGTGGCTGCATAAGTTATTCCTCGGTAAAGCTTCAGAGGGGAAACTGACCCAAATGCAAAAATTTTCAGTATCTCAGCCTGCCAAGTCCCCCTCCCCGAGACATCAAGCATCCTGGTTTCACTCCCATACCTCAGCACACTGGATGGCCTTTACTTCCATTTCCTTCCAGGCTTTGAGCATCTTTTCTGAGGCTTAAAAGAAATGGAGTTTGATTAATGAACAAAAAAGGCACAGATATCAAATGAACTGGGAATGAACCTAGATAAATGCATACATATACAGACAAAAATTTTAGAAAATGGGTGCCTAAAGAAACACTCTGAAGTCCACAGTTAGGCACATAAATAAGTGTCCTGAACTTCAAGAGTACTGAGAACCCAAACAGCTTGCAATGGCTTCAGTTATCTTGAGTTCAGCTACTTTTTGCAAATCAAGCCTATAAACTTCATCTCATAACTTCAAGTTCCCACTTTTGGAAATTTTCATGGCCTGTATAACACAGGCCAAAGAACTTCACACAGTCATTCCAGCATCAAACTTGTATCTTCTGGTTGAGCTAGAGCAGGTCTCTTAGAAAGAGACATCTCATTTTGATTCAAAGACTCCAAATGATGGAGAATTCAGCACATCCCTATGTCAGCTGTAACTACATTTAATCACCCTCACTATTAAAAATAGCTCAACCGGAAGTTATGAACTTGAGGCAGGAATCATTGGATGAGGTTCTCCTGTCTGTGTCAAACAGTAGGTCAGACTAGATGATCAGAACAGTCCCTTCTAGCCTTAACATCTATGAATCAAAAATGCAGGTAACAGCACTTTTCTACCTCATCAGATTGTTGTGAGAATAAATATATTAGAGACAGCAAGGGACTCCGATACTATGGTAATGGGGAACATGTACAGACAGATTTCCAACAGAAAAGAAACGTGCCACCAGAATGGCAAAAGTGAGAAATGATCAACAAAACTGCACTATGTATAAAGTTGTCAACAATGCCAATTGCCCATTGCTTCAAATGTAAAAAAATTTATACAAAGGGGGCAAGGAAGCCTTGCTTCCTTCAATGAATTCAAACTTTGGAATGGGCAGGAACTCCAGGGAAGGAAATGAACATGTGGCAGATTTTTTAAAGACAGCTACTCACCTCTTTTGTAAGTTGTTCTTCAAGATGTGTTCCACATACCCATTCCACTTTGGTGTTTTGGGCATGCACATTCTAAAGTCAAAGACTTTTTCCCAATGCAGTACCCATCAGGGTGGCATCTGCATCCTCCATATGCTTTTGCTCCCAGGCCAAAGTATAAAAGGCAGAGCTGCCCTGATCCCCCTTCAGTTCCTTCGCACCAGAATCCAGAATGAATAGACTCTGATTTACAGGGGAAGGAGGGCAGGTCATGGAATGAACATGTGCCACACATCTTGACAGCCACACGGATTATGATTAAGAGAACAGATTCAGGAAAGTACAAACTGAGGTGTGAGAAGGAAATGAACTGAGATAAATGCTGCTCAACACAATAGCAACTAGATTTTTTGGAGGCCTAGCAAAGCATGCTTAGAACAGCTTCCTCGCTACCCCCTCAACTCACTCTTCACTTCAGGTTCGTTCGCCTCCCAATAGGAGTCCCCCCTATCTTAAAAAAAAATTTAGTCCTTTACTTAACTGCCTTTCTGAACCCAAGATCCCACACCTCACACTCTAACTCTTCAATCCAGCTTTCACCCTTTCTGTTCCATGGAAGCTGCTCACACCAAACCTCTAACAACCTCTTCCAGGCCAAATCTCAGGGCTCGTATATCATCTTCCTCCTTGACCTTTTGATAGCCTCTCACACCACTGACCACTCCCTCACTTTTTAACTCTTCCAATGGCTCTCCTAGCTCCGTTCTCTCAGGGTCCTCCTCCTGCTTCTCTGACCGCTCCTATAGCAGGCTCTTTACCCACTCTCTTGATTGGCGCAATCATTGACACCCTCTATGTCCTGTCTAGGTGCACATATCTAACAAGCATGGCTTCAACCACCACCATCATTGCTGATGACTCACAAATCTACCTCCATCCAACCCAGCATCTCATCCTCTCTGATATCTCTTCAAGGATTATGTCCTGTTGGCAGATTAAACACAACATGGGAAAAATTTATCTTGTAATCATTCCCTGAAGCCCTCTCTCTCCTTTCCTCCATATCTGTGAACAACATGACTATCCTAACAGACATTCAGGTGGCATTTCTTTGACTCAGCCCTCTCTATGGCTAAACATACCAACCATGTATAAATCTTGCTGCTTTTCCATATGTAACAGCCTATCCTCTGTTTATGCCACCAAAATGCTCATCCAGGGTTTCATCATTTCCCATTCTGACTACTGCAACCTTTCTGGCCTCGATTACAGCAGACTTACCTATTCAAATAGCTGATGCTGCACTCACCTTTCTGGCTTGTTACTGACCACATTAACCCCTTGCTCTTCCTTCACTTTGCATCAAGCACCAGCCATCTTGTCTTCACCTTTAAGGTCCTCGACAACTTAGTCCTGCCCTACCTAGCTGCTCTATTCGTTTATTGCAATGTTGACCCCACTTTCACTCTGCCAACATTCTCAACTTCCCTCCCCACCAGCCACCTTCTCCCACAGCCCTTCTACCTAGGAAAATTCCGTAACTAAATTCATAGAGCCATGCCCTTCCCATATCTCCTAGAAATCCCTCTTTAGGACATGCCCACCGCGATGCCTGCAAAACCCTACCATGACAAGGTATGTGCGAAAATGGGACTGTCCTTCTGTTTCTTCTTTTTCCTATTCCCTTTCTCTCATGAACTCCCTCACTTCTGCCATCCACAGATTCCAAGTACAGAAGGAACCATTGTGATCATGTACTCGGACCTGCTGTATAACAGACCATAGAAGCTTCCCAAAATAATTCTTAGAGCCTGTCTTTTAGCAAAATATCCAATCTTGGTTTAAAAATAGTCAGTGATGGAGAATCCACCACAAATTTACCCACAACCTTGGGTAAATAGTTCCAAAGGTTAATTACCCTATTAAAAATTTACACCTTATTTCCAGTCTGAATTTGTCTAGCTTCAACTTCCAGCCATTGGATCATATTATACCTTTCTCCACTAGACTGAAGACTTCACTGTTAAGTATTTTTTCCCCATATAGGTACTTGGCAACTGCAATCAAGTCACCCCTTAACCTACTTTTTGTTAAGTTAAATAGATTATGCTCCTTGACTATCACTCTAAGATATGTTTTCAATGTTTTTAAATCATTCTCAGGGCTCTGCTCTGAATCCTCTCCAATTGTTCAACATCGTTCTTGAACCACGGACACCAGAACTAAACACAGCATTCCAGGGCCAAATATAGCCTTAAAATCGTCTCTACTACTCAGGACGTCCATTTACACATCTCAGGATTGCATTAGCCCTCATGTCCACAGCATCACACTGGGAGCTCATGTTCAGCTGATTATCCACCTCTCCCACCAAATCTTTTTCAGAGTCACTGGTTCCCAGGATAGAGTCCCTCATCCCGCAAGCATGACCTACATTCTTTGTTCCTAGATGTACAGGGAGTCCTCGGACTTATGATGCCTGACTTACGTCGGATGCCACTTATGACGCTTTTCAATTGTCTGCCCATTTCGCCCCTACGACGCTTGTTTCGCCCTTATGACGAAAGCTGGCAGGGAGAACAGCACACATCACATGCTGAGCCTCAGCCAATCACTGATTTCACTGTTCAAGCTTTCTCATTGGCTCCAGGCCCCGGGCTCAGATAATCAAAAACAAACGGCAAGGCTACCCAGCAACAAGCTAGCCTAGCCATAAAAGCCAATCAGACAAGCAACTTCAAGGGTTCCCCTTCCAGCTCCATTCATTGTAACAGCTGCTACAGAGAAATTTACAAAGGAGAAGAGGAGAACATCTGTCCAAACTTCCTTGGACACTTTAAGATTGCAGAGAAGCCCCCAGCCAAGAGCCCTTCAAAAAGTTCTGGGAAGTCAAAGCATATGTGATTTTGTGTGATATTTGAATGCTGTTTACCAAATAAACACATTGATGTTGCTATGTTAGTCATCTATAATTCATTTAGTACAAAAATCTGTGTTCTTGTGGTGAAAATAGTGTATCATGTCTTGGTTCAGGAACAAATCCCTCCTTTATACCGTGGATTCCTATGGGAAAAGTGGTTTCGACTTACAACATAATTCTGAGGAATGAATTGTGTTGTAAGTTCGAGGACTCCCTGCATACATTTAGCCATATTAAAATGTATATTATTTGCTTGCGCCCAGCTTACAGAGCGATGTGGATCACTTTGTATCAGTTACCTCCTCTTCATTATTTACCACTCACTCAATCTGTGTCTCATCTGCAAACTTTGTTTGCAGTGGTGTTGCAGAAGTATTAGTCCCAAGGTATGAGAAACACAACAAAAGTGATGTCTTTTATCAGACCAAATTCTGTTGATGGAAGGTACCAACTTCTGAGCTACACAGAGCTCTTCTTCAGGATTGGAAAGCCCAGACCTGAAGAAGAGCTCTGTGTAACTCAGAAGTTTGTACCTTCCACCAACAGAATTAGGTCTGATAAAATGCATCACTCACCTACCATGTCTATCTGCAAACTTTATTACTGATGATTTTGTGTTTTCTTCCAGGTCATTAATAAAAATGTTAACTAGGTCCCCTGACCTCTGTCCCCAGTTAAAAAAATACAGCACACTAACAAAACTGTGCTGAACCCCCAATAAGTTAATTTGCTTGTGTGAGAGTCGTCATCCTCAAACCTCTATCTATATCTTTTACATTACAAATTCTCTGCAGCAGGAACTGTCTACCCACCATGACCTTCACTGGGACCTTCAACTATTCCGAAAATACTTACATATTCCATAAGCCATCTGGTCACTGTATCTCTCCAGATCAAGATGAATACTCTGATGAAAGAATTCCATCTTTGCTTTCAGTTGCTGAGATGCGGACACCATATTATTTTTCATCTTGGTTAAGTTAGCATTATATCGAAGAAGACTCAACCTAAACAATAATTGCAAACAGAGCCTGTTAAAATTAATACAACTGGAATTCTGTGAGTTAGTAACAAAGAATGAACTGCTATAATCAATGCATGGAGAACCTGAATTCTAACATCTAAAGGAAATGCATCAGTGGCACTGAATTTTTTACGACCTTTTGGCATAAGGTTTCCAGCAGAAGGACAGACTCCCTGTGTGACCCTGGGCAAGTCACTTAAATCCCTCTTGGCCTCAATTCCCCATATGTAAATTGGGGAGAATAATTCTTCTTTTTCCCCCATTTTAGTTGTCTTGGCTATTTAGACAGTGAGCTCTCTCTCCATGGCTGGGACTGACTGGGTATGTGTTTGTACAGCACCAAGCACAACAGGGGCATGTTCATGGCTGGGGCTTCCCAGTGCTACCATAATACCAATAATAAATAAGACCATCTATCCCTGCACACGCAAACTACTCTGAACAATCTATATTAGTACTATTATATTGGTCACAGAGTAACCATCATAGTTAAAATCGCAAAAACTATCTTTATCATCATCTGTTATCTGTTCCTGGAATATGGTGAAATATTTTTGAAAATCCCTTTTAGCTTTTTCTGGTTTATGAACATCTGAAGTACAGTTTTCCCCACTGAAAATTCTACTGCTACCATTTTCCAACACACAGGATACTTGTGTTATTTCATAGAACTGAACTTTGAAACTTTAAATTTAGCCTGTGAAGGTACCCCTCAATGAGAGGAGTACCGTTTTGCTACATTCAATAAAACTGAGTAAATATAATGGAGCTGCTAGGCGTGATTCCACAGTTAAGGCTGAGTTGAGTTTTGCACATAAGGTGGAGATTCGACCACTCTGGTGTACGAAGAAGAATGCAGCGTACCCTCACCAAACTTACAGCATTTACTGTGAACACAGAATGAATTTTCTGAGTATTTACAGGTAAATCCATTAGTTTAGGAGTTAAAAATTTAAATTCTGAAGTGGGTTCTCTAAAGATAACGTATTTACCTTGTGTTCCGAACAGTCTTAGAGTAACAGAAACTTCCAATTTACCATATAGTTAACACTCACTGAAATCTTGGGCAGAGGCTACATTTGAATACTCTTTTTTTAAATGGACTAATGGTCTTTGTGACACTATGAAGAAGAAAAAAAAATCTAATGCATCTTTAAACATCAGTTTACTTTAAACTAATCTGGGACTACAACTGCTATCATGCAATAATCTTTTCTTTTAAAGTTTAACTTTAACTTGGCATTTCCTGGGCTTATTAATGTTTGTTTTGGGGACAATTACATCATTATGACAATGTAATTTTACTCAAAATTACTAACTTGAGTTCAACCTTAACTCCAACTCAACATAGATTTTATCTGGGATACAATTACATTTGATGGAAAATACACCTTTGAAAATGCTCAGCATCTTCTGCTATGATTTATGACCTAATGAAGACCACAGAACATTCCTTCTGACCAAATAGTCTTGACCACCAGCCATTTGAATTCTCAATTTACATTTACTGCTGAAATGCATTTTCAAGAATAAAACTACTGCCACCATAAACCCAGACCAGCTGCAATAAACAATGCTAGAGAAACAACCTCTAGCTTATTCATTTTTAAAGTTGAAGTTGCTTTTACTGAGATAAATATTAATCATATATAGAAGCACTGATAATTTAACAGATTAGGACAAGTTCTCATCTGGTTTACAATGTACGTTTATGGACAAAAAGAACAATGCACTTCAAAAGAGTGGCCAAGAATCCAAGAATCCTTTAATTCCTACAGCTTTCAGTTCAAATGTCTTCCATGTTCACATCTCTCTTCCTGGTCTACTGAATTTGCACCAACTTACATTGCAGCTCTCTGCCCTTGGAATAGCCGGCTGTAATCTTCTTTTAGCCCAGTCACATAGTGCACGGCTTCTGCCCACACTTTACGCAGCTGTGAAATTGGCAACTGGATTTTGCTGTCCTGAACTGCACACAAGAGAAAAAGAAAACTGTGTAAATGAAGTAACAGCCGTGTTAGTCTGTATTCGCAAAAAGAAAAGGAGTACTTGTGGCACCTTAGAGACTAACCAATTTATTTGAGCATAAGCATTCGATGAAGTGAGCTGTAGCTCTCGAAAGCTTATCCTCAAATAAATTGGTTAGTCTCTAAGGTGCCACAAGTACTCCTTTTCTTTTTGTGTAAATGAAGTTTCCTGGAATATTTGTAAGAGGCTAACATTGCATTTCTGTACCACTGACAGTGTTATTGTTCACACTGCAAAACTCTTTTAGCTACGAAAATAATCTATTTGAAGAGAATAATAAAGTAGTGGGTGAAGATCCACTCAGACTCATTAAAAAATTACAAATCATCAGAATTAAGACTAATTCAGCCAAATTATCACTGATTTCTCATATACTCCTGACAGTGAGAACAGCTAGGCAGGGACACACAGGATTTTGATCTTCTGTCGGTCTCAACTGGCCCATACTGGGCTCTGGAGTCAATGAACTTCCCTGCTTATAGGTGTGCCCTGGACAGTGCCTCCTCTATGGGCACACTCCCAAGTCTTTAGATAAGCTCAACCTCTTCGTCTGCTTTGATGATTCAGGCACCAAGTCCTATTTACAATGCCTCCTCTTCGGTACCAGCAACACCAATCTGCCTCTCAGTACCAGTAACGCTGGAGGTGCATTACTGACGGATGCCAAGGCACTTCATACCTGGACCAAGGTAGATGGTTCAGACAGACAATGTAGCACCAATCCCAGCAGCAGATATTTAAGTCTGGCTGCCCTGTCCTTCTTGAAGCAGCACTGAAAGCCCTTACGAATGCTACATTTGTCACTCATGTGTGCATTCCCCAAGCACTTAAGGGAACTGGGATGAGGGTCACTGTTAGGCATTACCTTACTACAAGAGTGGCAGGACTTGAAAAGCAGAGAGCTTAGCATATCTCCAGTACTAGAGCTGGTACCAAGACTGGGTGCCAGAGCCAAAAAAACCAACAAAACCTTTTTTTTTTTTAAACTACACTAACTAACCAACCTACACTAACTGTACAGAAACTTACAAATGGGCACTATTTACATGCTTGACAAAAAGCCTTGCAGAAGCAATAAAAGGGAATGCCAACAACCATCATGGGCAGCAGGAAGGAACTGAGGAGGGTTAGGGTGGCTCCACCCTGTTTGCCTGCGTACTGTGCACAAGGCACAGAGGGGGCTTGTGCTGCCTCAATGAGTACCCACAGGGGAAAAACTCTGACAATTGTGCCCTGGAGCAGTCACACCCCTACAGTGGAATGGACATGTGCAATCATTCACAGAAGAACTGCTATTTGTCAGTCAAATCCCATGCACATCTATGGTGCTATACACATAATTCCAGATAATCCACTACATTTGAAGAACACTAGTGTTGCACAGTTGAGCACTCAACAGTTAGATGCCAAAGTTAAGGTTGCATGTATAACCTTAGTCCTTGTGTTCATGCCACATAACAATACAATCTATTACACTCCGAACAGGAACAGGAGAGAAAAGAGGTTCTGGAATCTAATCTCCTCCCTGACTCATCTTGGTCAATAAGTCATGGGCAAAGGTGTCCACTTCCACCAAGCTGTGTTACCAAAGGCTGTAATGGAACACCTGGGGACTAAGAGGTGATAGTTGGAGACATGGTCAGGTAACACAGATCTTTTCCCTTTCTAATTCATATGATTCCATAGCAATCTGCTCCCACAAGAACTCACACTATAGAGTTTTTGGCTACACCGGTTGTGGTTCTATTTAGCTGGGATTTATTTACTGACAGTGGAGATGGACTGTGTTCCCTCAATGCTCAGGGATTTTAATATAAATCTTTAAAGAGCTTAAAGAGAAAATAGCTCAGACAGACGCTCTGTAGAATACCCATGCAGATTTTTAAGACAAGACAAATTTGGGTATTAAACTAGTTGAAGGGCATTCAGGTTCAAAGTCTATTGGAATACACTTACCAATGTAATTTACACAGTCAGACAGACTTCTGGAAGCAAAGGGTCCTTCATACACGATTTTGCTTTTATCGAACAAATAAACCATGTAACTGTCCCAGCCTCTCTGGTGAGGAAAAGAAAGATTATAAACAGAGAGAATCCCAAACACAAACTATCATGAGAAAGACTTCAACACATCTCACCAATCCAATGGTTTGCTACTATGCAATTTTATGAACTAGTTAGAGGAGATGCTGATCTCAGATACAACCATCATTTTATACACAGAGCTGATGAGGACTCAGCACTTTGGTGAATAGAGCTATTCTATTTAGGTCCTTAAACAGGGATTAAGGATCCTGCATGGTGCAGGAGATCAGACTAGATCATCATAATGGTCCCTTCTGACCTTAGTATCTATGAATCTAAAGTTAAGCACCTATTTTTTATAATATTGGCCCCTGGCTACAGAGGGATAGAAACATGGAGCACAGCTTAGGCTCAGACCCCACACACAAGCCCAAGATTGGATTCTTCTGAATAGCAGTGTCCTTTGGGGCTGCGCCTGTGACCCCCAAATCCTGTCACTTTCCACAGCAGAAAGTATATAGGGCAGGGTGGCAGCAACCCATGCTCTGTTCCTTCACCAGTAAAAAAAAATCCCATTAATAGGACTTCCATCATCAGGAACATGGGGAAGATGTGGAATCTGTGTGGATAGCCCATCTTAAAGAACTACAATCACTGTAGGGCAAGTAACCATATTTTCTTCAAGTATTTGCCCACACAGGTTCCTCTCTTCATGATTAGCAATCAATCACCCGAAAGCCAGAAGGTGGGTGAGGGGACATTTACTTGAACAGTGATTGTAAGATTGCACGAGGGAATACTGGGAGATAAAAGTGCAGACCGAATTCCATGCCACTGCTCCACATATTTCTGAAATGGAGACACTAAGGCAGGCCACAGAGGCTTCCTGGGCAGATGGAGTGAGCTCTAATTTGTCCAAGTGTGTCTTTATTGGCTAGGGGATAGCAGGTCTTGACAGAGTCCAAGACCCACTTAGTCTCTGTGAAAATACTGATTGACCCTTAACCCGCTCAGAAAACACCATGAAAAGTCTAGACATACATCTTTGGTCTGGTTCTGTTCAAATAAAACAACAACATCCAGAGTGTGAAATCTCTTCGCCCAGGGAGGAGTGAGGTTTCAGAAGGAAAACCAGGAAGTGAATAGATTGGTTGGTGTGACAGTTGGACACTAACTTAGGCAGACATATCAGGTGAGCCTTAAGGAAGACTGTCCCTGAGGAAAATCATACATGGAGGTCTTGCCCTGAAAGCTTGAATCTCTCCTAGCCATCATATCAGCTAGAAGGATATCAAGGCGGCAATGTTCATTGACAGATGGTAAAGAGAATGCACAGCCTGAAACTCAAACAGAGAGAGCCCATCCATCTGTCAGTACCATGCTGAGGTTTGATGATGGGCGAAAACATATGAGCCCCTTAAAATTTTTTGATGCCATAGGACAGGAGTGGCCAAACTTACTGACCCTCCGAGCTGCATAGTATAATCTTCAGAAGTTCGAGAGCTGCAAGACATTCGCTATCTGCCCCGCAGGACGGCGTATGCCAGGGTGCAGGGCTTCTGCCCCAACACCTCCTGTGAAGCTAAAGCCCAGAGATCTCCCTCCCCACAAGGCAGAAGCCCCTAGCCCACCACCCCGCCACAAGACAGAAGCCCCGAGCTTTCCCCCCGCCCCCAGTATGGTAGACGAAGGGGCGGGGAGGGGGAGGAAGGTGGCTCCACAAGCCGTGCTTTAACTGTAAAAGAGCCACAGCAGCTCACAAGCAGCAGTTTGGCCATACCTGCCATAGGGCATGAGAAAACAGTGTGACCTTGAATATGGGGATGACTAGCGGATATCACCGCTAGATGTAGCTGTACCAAGCTTAAATAAGAGTAAATAGTCCAAAAGAAAAGGTTACTCACCTTGTGCAGTAACTGAGGTTCTTCGAGACGTGTCCCCCTGTGTGTTCTCCACTTCAGGGGGAGGTGCGTCCCAGCGCCATCGATCTGAGATTTTGCTAGCAGCATCTGGTTGGGGCGCGCATGTGCAGTAGCTGTCTCGTGGTGGCACTGACACCTCTTCTGGCACGCACACGCCTCAACCCCCTCAGTTCCTTCTCTATCGTGGAGCAGTTGATTCTTACCCCAAAGCAGAGGAGAGGAGGGTGGGTAGTGAAGCACCCACAGGGACACACGTCTCAAAGAACCTCAGTTACTGCACAAGGCGAGTAACCTCTTCTTCTTTGAGTCGTGTCCCTGTGGGTGCTCCCCTTCAGGTGAATGTAGAGCAGTGCCCGCATGCGGATGGAAGGGGCTTCGGAGTTGATTGTGTAGCTGCTGCTAGGACTGTGCAGCCTAATTTAGCATCTGCGCTCGAGCTAATGATTGGTGAAAGTGTGTTCGGATGCCCATGTAGCTGCTCTGGGTATGACAAGAATGGGCACGTTGTGCAGAAATGCTGTAGAAGCTGCTACAGCCCTTGTCGAATATCTTCTGATACCCTTTAGAGCTTCAGTGTTGCATACGGAGTTGTACAAGTGGATGCAGTTTGATATCCATTAAAATAGTCTTTATGTTGATATAGCTGCGCCTTTCGACCTTTCCGTTATCGATATGAACAGTCTGGGGGACTTATGAAAGGTCTTTGTCCTGTCTAGGTAAAAGGCCAGAGTGTGGTAGACTTCTTACATGTGTAATGCCACCTCTTGTGGGTTGTTGTATGGTTTAGGGTGGAAAGTGGGTAGGTGAATTGGCTGGTTAAGGTGAAATGAGAACGATATTTTGGGCATGAATTTTGGGTGAGTCCTCAGAGTTGCTTTTTCCTTGTGGAATATTGTGTATGGGGGGAGCCATGAGTGCCCCAATCTTGCTCACTGTTCATGCCAATGTGATGAATATTAAGAATGCTATTTTCATTGATAAACGGAGCATAAAGCAAGATGCTAAGGGTTCGAATGGTTTTCTGGTTAAGGATTTGAGCACTAGGTTTAAGTCCCATGCCGGAGTGGGTTCACGGATGTCCAGGTACATGTTTTGTAGGCTCATTATGAATCTCTTTGTAATTGGGTGGGCGATTGAGGTTCCTTCTACCTGTTGGTGAAAGGCAGTTATTGCCGCGAGGTGGACCTTGATCGAGCTTGCAGCCAGTCCTGATTTCTTTAACAATAGTAGGTACTCCAGGATCAATGGAAGTGGGGCCTGGTTTGCCGATATTTGTTTGCTTTGGCACCAAATGAAAAATCTCCCATTTTTGGAGGTAAGCATGTCGTGTGTTTTGTTTCCTGCTGTTAATCACTACTACTAATACTTGATCCAAACAGGTTAATTCGTCCTCTGAGAGCCATGAAGGAGCCACGCTCTCAGGAGAAATTTCCCTGGATTGGGATGGAGGACTTGTTCATTGTCCTGTGAGAGGAGATTGTGTCATCGAGGGATAGTGAATGCAGTGCATATTGCCTTGCGATTCAGGTAAGGGAACTGAGTTAGTCTGCGTCATGTTGGCATTAAGAGGATGATCTTGGCCCTGTTTGTATTTTGTGTATGACTCTGGAGATTAGAGGAATTGGAGGGAAAGCATAAAGGAGAGGGGCATTCCATTTGATCAGGAATGCGTCTCCCAGTGATTGCGCTCCCTGTCCTGCTCATGAGTAAGATCTTGGGCATTTCTTGTTTGCTCATGTGGCAAATAGGTCTATGGACGGATTTCCCCTCCTCCGAAAGACGCATTGTGTTATTTCTTCATTCAGTTCCTATTTGTGTTCTGGTGAGAATGTCTGCTTAGTGTGTCCGCCATGATATTCAGGTGGCCTGGTAGATGTGAAGCTGTTATAGTGATGTTGTGCTTTATGCACCAGTTCCATAACTTTAGAGCTTCCACACATAACGAATGGGATCACACTCCACCCTAGCGGTTGATAAAGAACATGCATACAATGTTGTCTTTTAATATCCTTAATGTTCTGTTTCTTATTAGTGGAATTGCAGACGACGCGTAGTTCTAATAGGTTTATGTGAAGGTGTCTCTCTTGTTGGTGACTATTTGCCCTGGGCAGTACATTGTTTCAGGTGGGCCCCCGATCCAATCAGGGAGGCATCTGTTGTGATTTGAACTGATGGTGTTTCCTGTTGGAAAGGTATGCCTGAGCACGTTTGATGGGTTTGTCCACCAGTGCAGTGACTGAATCACCTCTGCGATGGGTGTGATTCTCTTGTTTAAGCTGTGCCTTCGTGGTATGTAGACTTTGTAGGCACTGCATGTGTAGTCTGGCGTGCTTGACCACTGCATGTATAGTCTGGGGTGCTGGGCCATGTGCCCCAGTAGCTGTAAGCAGGTGCGTGCATGCACCCATGAACTGTGTGAGACCATCGATATAAGGGAGGTCATCATTGTAAAGTGGGGCTCTGGAAGGGATGCTCTGGCCGTGAGTGAGCCCAGGCGAGCACTTATGAATTCCAGTTGCTGTACTGGAGTGAAGGTTGATTTCTTTTTGTTGATTTGTAGCCCCAAGGAGTGGAAGAGGAAGATGGTTAGCTGAACACCTCTTTCTGTTTCTGCCTTTGTGGAGCCCTTGATTAGGCAGTCGTCTACGTAAAGGAATAGGAGTATCCCTTGTCCGCATAAGTGTGTTACTACTACCGCCAGTGTTTTGGTGAACACTCTCGGTGCTGTCGATACGTCAAATGGTAGGACTCTAACGGAAGTGTTCTTGTCCTACTGTGAACCTTAGGAAGCATCTGTGAGCCGGGTGGATTGTAATGTGAAAGTATGCATCTTGTAGGTTGAGGGCTGCGAACCAGTCCCCTTCTTCCAGCATAGGGATGATCGAGTTCAGGGGGACCATTTTGAATCTGTGGGCATGACGAATTTGTTGAGTTTTCTCAGGTCTAGGATGCGTCTCCACCCCCTATTTTTCTTTTGAGTCAGAAAGTAATGGGAATAAATTCCTTCCCGGTGTGTTGTATTGGGACTAGTTCCACCGCACCTATTTGCAGAAGGTGATGCACCTCTTGTCTCAATAGATGCTTGTGGGAAGGGTCCCTGAAGAGGGACAGG